ACTAAATAGTGTACAAAATCTAGTAACATTAGTCATTTTTTATTTATTTTTGAGAAAATTAGACATGATAAAAAATTATATCTGTACGAAAGATTAAAAGCTTTGATTAGTTTGTTTGTTTGCGCTAATATCAAGAACTACTGGTGCGAATTAAAAACCCTTTTTGTGTTGGTTGATTTGATTCTTTATATAGGATTAAACATTACGCTGCGAAAACAGTGGAAAAACGGGGAAAATTATTTATCTTAGTCGGTTTAAAATGCCCAAAAAATATGTATGAAATAATGATTCCTCTTTACACCATTTAAAAAGTTCAGTATTCCATATACCGATAACTTATGATGTAATCACGGGCACATCTAGTATTAAATACTATCAATAATTTATTCTTATTTCGGTTTTAAAGCGATAATAACCCTAGTGCTTAATAACCGTTTTATCTTTCAACCCTTTAAGCTACGTACGCATAAGTCGCACTATAATGTCAGTGAGTGTGTTCTTCTGGAAGTATTTCCTTACGCCTATTATTTACAGTGTGCATTCAACTTAAGTCATGTCTGTGTTGTCGTCTAAAAGAATGAACACAAGGAAATGTGTTACAAGGCATGAGAACTATTGTTTCCTTGTCGGCAATTATTCAACTGCATCTACGCTAGTTTCCGATAATTAAGTGGTTATTGCATTTCTGCTGAGCAAATAGATACTTAACTACTGTCTATTGTTTACGCGAGATTTTTAACGGGTTAAAACGCGACATGTATACAAAATTTATTTTAATTATGAGCCGACGTTTCAAATGCTTTGCCATGGGTATATTCGTCATGGACACAAAAAAATGTTTGCATTATATGTCTTTTTTTAACCGACTTCAATAAATAAAAGTCGAATCTTAATTCGATTAGTATGTTCAAAATTGAAGTATATCAAATCATTTCTATTCAACTAAATCAATATATGTGTATACTATTGTGTAAAATAAATAGATTTTTCTTAAGTTCACTATTTGTAGTCGGTTATCTAATGTTAAAAAATGTTTTATTTCACTGAAATTATATGCAACTTGTTATAAAACTACAATCATAAAGTTTATTAAGTATTTTATTATCAACTTAATATATGTGTCGTTTAAATTTGAATAAACTTTTGATACTAGAATTTCTCTTTTGATTGATATAAACGCAAGGGTTTAATATTAATTAAAATAAAAAATTAGGTGAAAAATTAACTTTTTGAGATAACAATTTGAAGAAATATTAATCTTAATAATTTACCCGTATTTAACTCAAATATAAATCTTATATGTATTGTGTTAAATAGGATTAAATAAAAAAAAATATATAGAAGTTAAGGTACCTTATTTTAAGAAAAATACTAAAAATCGTTATTTTGTAAAAGGTAAATATTTCAATTGTGTTGCGTACCTGTTATTATTGTACCATAGTAGCTTGCAAAACCAATAATAGGGAGTACTTTCTATAGTCTGTATTAAAAGAGCCTGTGTTATCCCGCGCTGTCATTAAAATAACCGCGCATTTTGACAGCGGCGCTCAGTGACTGTAGTGTTTTTTTTTAATTTTATGTGATATTTTGTGTGTAAAGGTTTTATTACAAGTTAAAGTATTGTGAGAAAGTATCAAAAAAAGGTATTTATAAGGATTGCTCGTAAAGTGGCTGTAATTATTCCAATTTCAATATCGTAATGTATCTCATTACGTACTTGTGCAAAATGCACGTGTTTTTTTTTTAAAATTTTTTAAGTTTTAAGATACTCCGTCTAAAAATGATCAATACTTTTAAAAATTACCAAAAGGTTTTATGTCAAGAAAGTGGTCAATATTTTATGAATAAAATTAACTTTGGGAAATAAAATATAACAAATAAACATTTAATTATTTAATTTAATTAATTTTGACTATAAATTAAATGATATTAATTTACTTATTTTATTATGCTAGTTTTTACGACAATTTCTCTTAAAGGACATAAAAACACATTGTCCGTGTCTGTTTCGCATCGATTTATCGATTTTAGGAGAGATCATTTTTTTAATTTCTTTTGCCGGGGTCTAACAGGAATCCTAGATAAATTAACAGCACAAAGTTATTCGTAATTGATATTTAACGGAGTTATGAGCTTTTTATTATATATACTCCTAATATATAATGTGTATATCTTAATTACAACTGTTATTTGTTATACTATATTTAGGTTGATTGAATTAAGCCTCTTATAACTGAATTCGACTCTGTCAGGCAAAATGAAGAATGTTAAGTCGATTTTTAATAATTACAAATCTTAAATATCTTCGCTTGCTATGCAAGTATTATGCTTTTGACGGTATGAGCCTTGTACAACAAGAAATCCTAGACAAATATGTAAATGTCCACAACTTGAGCTTGGTTGGTATTCACATGTTATTGCACGGATTTATGGCACTTTTTACATTAACAAATCGATAAAATATATAAAAAAATACGTACATCTTAATTGAACCGGCAACTACGCTAGGTTGTTATACTATATGCATGTTAAGAAAATTGACGATTACGTGTAAGACTAGTTGCAATTGGTTAGACCGAAATTACGCAAGCTGTCAGCCGGCACAAGTCCTGACGAGTGTTAAGTTTTTTTTATTAATTACAAATCTTAAATATTTTCGTTTTCAATAATGGCAAGTCAAATACGATGAATCTTGACGTTATGCCGAAATGTACATTGTACAAACTGTAATTACGACATAAATTGAAAATTTCGTTCCCAAGACTTTGTCAAAATTTTTAAAAAATTAGATTAACATAATTTTTGCAGGACTTTGTAGGAATCAAATTTACCAAAAAGAGATACCTTATTCATAAACGTATATTATATTAAAATATTAATATTAAACTTTAATACACATTACTTGTCTATAACATACAGTAAAAAGGTTTAGTATTTCTGTCCATTTGGGCTGCTAGATAGGTTTGGAATGTCTTAAAAAATCTAGGAACAGATAATCCGATTATCCACAGATTATCCGATTGGTCTTTTTCGAATCCTCCATACATTTCACAAATCGAATATTAACGTAGGTAATGCTTGCGAAACTAAATAATGCACAAGCTACTAAGTGTTGTAAAATGACATCACCACTGTTAAACATCGAGACACGATATTTATTGTAAGTTCAAAAAGAACAAAGACTATTTATTTATTAAACTTTATTAATAAGTTGAACACCACATGAATGGTTTACAAGAATACATTATAATTAAAAGGCGCCTATTGGCATAAACAGGGATGTCTTCCAGGCAACCAGATGTGTACTACTTCTTTACTCTTTAAATAAATCACTTTTAACAGATTTTAATAAAACACATTAACGGTTTAAAACGCGGTATACTAGATATTAAAATTATTTGAAAATGGTTTTTAACTTCGGCCCGACGTTTCGAATGCTTTGCAGCAGCCGTGGTCATGGGGAGACATACATCATTTTCAAATAAGTTTAACTAATATATCGCGTTTTAAACCGTTAAAGTGTTTTATTTAAATGTGTACTACTCGCGTAAACTATTGACAGTATTTCACTTTTAACAGTTTAAAATGCAAAATATATTACTTAGTTTATTTTTAATTTAATTTAACTTTGAACCGACGTTTCGGATGCTTTGCAGCAGCCGTGGACACGGGGGGATAAGGCACGATCTGTAGTTAAATTAAAAATATGTTAGCAATTGTATTTATCATTTTAGACCGTTAAAAGTTTATGTTAACGTGTGAACTCTGGTGAACTCTGACAGCTGATTTTGCATAAATCTTAACATTCTCAGTTATATAACAATTAAGTCGATATAGCCAATTAATTTAATTACTAAATGTAATGTACCTACATTTTAAATGTACTATTTTTATTACAAAGCCAGAGCTTCGCACTATTATTTAAAACAATTATAAAATACTTCAAATGTAATTTACCAACTTAATTCGGATTTAAAAATTAACGTAATACAATAAATATATAACACGATTTAACCAGCATAGGTAACTACACTATTTTTCAAATAACACATTCATTTTGACCCCCTCCAACTCTGCCTCCCCTTAAAGGGGTTTGGGGGGGGGGGGATATACAATTTTATAATCCACGATATATTATTATTTTAATTGTTATTAACTTCTTTTTTAGATAGTGTCGATTAAAAAGAACTTAGTAATATAAATACTTAATTTTTTCATCGAAAATGAAAAAATGCAATAAACTCGCATTTTTATTGGTCAATACTTTAAACTTATCAAGTGAAAGTACGAAACGTATAAAGCGAATTAAGCTTTCTTGTAATTAAAATAATTTGAATTATACTTTTGTTTACATTTAATAAACCGATTCGCAATACCCGCCATAAAATCTGTTTATAATGCGATCATTTGGCCGAATGTTATTGCAATTACGATGTTAATATAAGAGTTATGATAAACTCCACTATTAATGTACAAACATATGAATTTTTATATGTCTACAGATTGATTTTATATTTGAGCTTTCTATTCTGATGACGATAATTGTTCTCTTTATTATAACCTAGCTGTGCCCGCGACTTCGCCCACGTAGAATAGTCAATTTGGGCATCGAAATTTGTTTTGGCAAACCTCCTTCTGTTAAGCTGTTACCCACGTGTCCCTTGCAAGTTAATCTTAAAAGAGAGCCATACGCTGTCGCGGACATTTTTTTAGATCGTTTAAAGAGGAATATTTTTTTCCTACACATGTTTCGGATATCTTGAACAGATTTTCGCATCGCACGCAACGGAACTACAGAGATGAACAATATTCCCCGTTTCTTAGACACCTCTACTTCTTCGCTCGTATTGTTTGCAGCATGTTGTTTTCTTGCCTAAAGCCTCGATAAATTCGAACTGAGATTAGCGCGTTCAAACTCGTCAGCTTTATAATATTAGTATAGATTAATGATTCCAAATAATTTAAACTATAGTTTAACGAAAAGTACGTTAGCACTTAACATGACGCAGCCGTTGGACAAAGTCCACCCCCAAGTTAAGGAAGTGCCGTATGTTCTCTAAATAATACCTCCAGTCCTCTCGAATTTTCAACTATATTTCACAATAACTAGGGAGGCGTATATCTCACGTCTATAATTTTCGTACTTTGAGAATTGTGTCTGTTTTAATATACACTACACTGAACACTTTTATATTAAGGTACAAATAATTTCTAGGAGAGGAATTTCAATTTCCGCTTCAGTCGCGTATACCTTTAAAAAAGAAAAAAATACGCATATTTATAGTTTTCTTTTTGAACGTTTTTTTCTATTGTATGTATTTGTTAATTGTTTAAATCGGTTTAAATCCATCGGTTTACCTGTTCAATACTACAAATGTCTAGTGGGGCATTACTAAGAATTGGTTGTGCTTACTGTGACCAGGTACAATAAAGCCTAGCAGTCTCTCCACGTACATTTAATTAATTTTATTGTATTTTTTGTGTGGACGTGCCCGTATATTATTACAATGATTATGTATAGCTTGAATCAACGGGTGTTATTTAATTGTTCTAATTGGCAATTATTATTATCAACTTAAATTTAATGTTACTAAGGAAAGATTTTTTTACTGACATATGTATCGATTTCTTAGATTCATGTCAATCTATATATTTCCAAATTAATGTAAGAATGTCAACATTCCATCTACTATATACGTCCAAAGTAAAAAAGTGATAAAGTTTAATTGCATTTGATTCGTCTGTGCATTTCCGAAAATTCAAACCAAAAGCACTTGTTTAATAAATCTACTGGTCCTGGGCTATTACCTCCCCACTCATAGAAAATCAATACTTATTTGTAATCGATTTATACAGTTCTTTCTGCAACATACTTAAACGTTGTCTTGAGCTCTAAGGGATATCAAAAATGGGAACTTGGTAGTTGCAATATCATAATTTATAAGTGAAACATTTGATTTAACATAGAGGGATCATGATAACAAAAACAAAAAGAATTTAAAATACTAACTACTATTGCAGCTTTGCTGCTTCGTGAAATTGAGATATTTTACTAGCATTAGCTGACCACTATAATATCTGTATTTATTTCATACCTATATTTTTTTATGCCTTTTTGGATTAATATTGAGACAAACGCGTCTTGTATTCACACATTAATCAATTTCACATACAATTGACTTTCATCGTTTTATAATTTACTCATTTCAAGGTGTGCCGAACTGTCAAACTGACAAACCACAGAGAAGAAGTAGAATGTCACCACACATTGTTTCTTCGGATATTCGGCTAAACTCGCAAGTTTGCGAGTATCGTAGGGAAAACCCGTTTCATCTCAAGTTTTAACATTCAGAGCTTATATATCTACGTTATTCTAGATTATACATAATAGACTATCATAAAAATAAAGCCGCCAATTATATTCGCGTTCCAATCCAATCTATAAGCGACGGAAAAAACATTATTGTTATCTTGATTGCATCATTGTCATGTGAACGCGGTCGGCGTCCGCCATCTTGCGGTTGTCATGGCAACGCCATTGTTTCCCGCCTGTGAAAACACCGCGTTATGTTAGGGATGATCGATTATTGCACTCTGATACGGTGTTTGATTTTTTTCATACAAAGCTATAATGTGTGTCTTTCGAGACTATGTATTACACTGGTAGTGTTACACAATTTTAAACATTTTTAACGATTAAAAACGCGAAATCTGTTAGTAAACTTAATTTCCTTTTTTTTTAACAACGACTGTTAAGTCGTGAGTTACCAGAGAGGTTAAGGGTTAAAAAAAAAATTTCGCGTTTTAAACGGTTAAGGTGTTTTTTTTTGATTATTTTAACTTTCTTCGACGAAAAACTAGCTATTTTTAATATCTCAACCCTATAAGCTATTCTGCGATATTATTCAGTTTCATTCAACTCAAATTAATCATGCATTTTAAAGGTAGTAAACCTTTACTATATACATGGTTAAAAATTGTTAACTTTTAATATGTTAAATATTCTGGTTATATTATTGCTATAAGTAATTATAGATTTCAAAATAACTATTCATGATTTATCTTTACTAATATCAAAAACTAAAGAGTTTGTTTGTTCCTTTATTTGTTGAACGTGCTAATCTCAGAAAGTACTGATTAGAATTGAAACATTATTTAATGTTGTAACAATGGTCTTTGTCTGGACAATTGGTCTTAATCTTTTTATACTACGTACCATTTATCAACAACATATCGCTTAAAGTGTTAATTTTATTTTTCAGAAACATGATCTGCCTCTTCATATTATTAACTGTCGCGAAAAGTCAAGAGCTTCCGGCATCAGATCGTCAATCGAATCTTATACGACAATACTTGGAAGAAATAAGTCCAGAACCGACTAAGTAAGTTCCTTCTCCTCTATTCTCATTCTAAAGGTCTATAACTATAAGACATCTTTTAAACGTTAATATTTTTTACATGTTGGCATTATATTAATAGAGATTAATTATTTTTTTTAGTCATAAGAAATATAGTTTTGAATTAAAAATCGATTATCAATTCAAAATAAAATTATTTCGGGCAGGACTTGAATCGGCTGCCACAGCGTTCTGTGCTGTTGATCTTACAAATTGACCTACTGAATCCTACGCGTCTCGACTGCGCGAGCGGTGTGTATGTATCAATAGGTTGAAAAAATTCGACGATCACTTGACGTGTACGTGATTCCCCCTGTGACTACGGCTGCTGCAAAGCATCCGAAATGTCGAAATGAGTTAACTAATACATTCCATTTAAGTTGAACGTTTTTTATTTAAATTCAATAAGCTTACAGTTTTTCTAAAACATGTTGGACTTCGTCTGGAAATTTGGATATCAAATGGGTGTTATTCTAACCCATTATCCATCCATATCGTAATTTCGTCCAGTTAACTAACAGTAGAAAACCCGTATGTTTAATCTCATTTCAGTCTGTGGATTCCCGAATGCAAAGCCAAAATAGGTCGTTATATGGCTCGAGTCCTCTCTATCATAAAAAGTACTATATTACTCAAAATTAACTTACGAAGCAAGTAATAGTTCTCTAGTTAATCCTTGCTCCATCTCATACTTGATATCGGCTACCGACATTTAACCTTCCGATCCGCAAGTGTAAACAACTCAGGTACAGCGAAACTGATCAGCACGGTCATTTAGCTGAATAGTTAAATGTTTTAGCTGGACATCGAATACTGATATCGATTTCTCATTAGGAACCAAAGATACTAAGTACTGGATGGTTTAGGATATTATTATTATCTTGTAGTATTTATTGAATCAGATAAAAACAATGCAACATTCTTCAAAATATGCACAAAAAATAACAATATCAGTAGTTTACGCGTATAATATAACAATTTAAACAAAAACGATAGTGGTAAGGTGGAAATTAAATTACATTATCAAAGTTATTTATTAAATGTCAAAAAGACATTATTTAAGTTGTAGTGAAATAATAAGACATAGTAGATATTTAATCTATAATCTATAATTGAACACTGTTCACTTGCTGATATGTTATCTATAGTACATAAATCCAATAGAAATTGTTAGTCTGTCCAGCTCATAACATTTCAAAAATCGAACAATACATGAAATCGAAACTAATATATTTTAAATTAAGAATGTTTGTCTGTCTGTATGTGGATACACTTCACGAAAGATTTTATAGATCTGGAAAGTTAAGCAGGCCACAGATATCTATAGTAATACAATAACGCGCAGTTTCTACTGGTTCGAATTGATAAAGACATTTTTGTGTTGGTTAGAGCATTTATCGATGAAGCCTTTAGGCTATAAAAGATCACGCTGCGACCAATAGAACGAAGAAACAGTAGAAAATGTGGAAAAATCGGAGGAAAACATTTATCATTGAGGGTTTCCGTTGCGTGCGAAAACGGTACATTTTAAATAATTTTAGATTTTTTTTTGTTAGGTCCAGGTTATCCAGAAGTTCGACATCTATGGCATTGCCATTACTCCGAATCATCGCGATTAGGGTGGAATTTAACAAATAGTTATATCAATTTCTGGTTTTATCGTTATTGACTATTATTTGAACTATTTAGCGTTCGAGAAGACTAACTAAAACTACCCTCGTTTTCAAAATTGATATATCTGCATGAAATATTCTTCATAGTTGTATATCGTGGAAAATTAATGTTACAAATACATTTTTCAACGAAATACCGAGAAATATATAAGATATATAAGATTACTTCCAGTAGCATGTATATTGGAAAATATTATTATTAAAGTAAAGTTATCATTTTATAATATTATTTTTAGGAAGTAAAGTAGTAAGTGAGATCCCATTTCCCCTCGTCGGGCATGGGGCTAACACATTTCTGTGTCCGTTTCACTGATCAGATTTTATTTACATTCAAGTAGTTGATCAGACTTCTGTGCCCTGCCCGACCGGAAGTATTTACTGTTTCAGCCAGCATTCGATCTCATGACCTCTTGCGATAAACACAATGCTAGGCAACACGTTTAACCATTTAGGTACAGAGGCGGTTTTATAAGAAGAATTATACTTTATTTTTACAGAAAAGGCCCAGTACTATTCCCAAACGATGGACCTCCACCACCAAGACCTCCCCTGGTGGTCACATCACGACCCTTAACAGAGGCTATTGCTAGAAGCGAGCTCAATAATTCGGTCGCAGACTCCTCTTACATAAACCCAGTGACGTATCGACCGAATTACGGAAGTTATAATAACTTTGAAATCGGGGTAAGTTTGCTTTATTCGCGGAATTCTGGTTTGATTGTAATTAATGGCTATTAATTTTTAAAATATACACTTCACGTTTGACTAATTTTCCCTATGTGTAAAATGGGGCATACAAAAATAATAATCTTCTAAATAAAACACTTTAACGGTTTAAAACGCGATATATTAGTTAAGCTTATTTGAAAATGATTTTTAACTTCGGCCCGACGTTTCGGATGCTTTGCAGCAGCCGTGGTCACGGGGAGCAATCATTTTCAAATAAGTGTAACTAATATATCACGTTTTAAACCGTTAAAGTGTTTTATTTAAATGTGTACTAATCGCGTAAACTATAGACAGTATTTAATAAGCTTCGCTAATCAATATTTTTATGATAGAGGAAGACTAATGGTAGGTGACCTGTCGACCTATTTTGGCTTATCGACCTATATTCGGAGATCCACAGACTAAAACCGATTTAAACTTCGCAGAGCTTTCGTCTGCGTACGGTGGTTCTAGACCCGGACGACATTTCAATATTCTTACCACCAATTTAATATACAGATTTCCAGACGAAGAACATGTTTCCGAAAACCCATAAATTAATTAGAAACATGTTGGGTCCGATACCCATTTGTTATTACGCCGTCAAAAATAATAGTGATGCTATTCTAGAGTGGAACAATTATTGTAATTCCTACCGTTTTGAAGCAATTTTGTGTAGCCAACGCTAGGTTAAGCTATCACGATGATAGTCTCTAGATAGAATGAATAGAAGTAGGTTTTTATAGATATGGTAGACTAGCTGTGTCAGCGACTTCGTCCGCGAGAATCGTTATTATGGGCATCAAATTCGTTTTTGCAAACCCTTTCTTTAAAAACTTAAGCTGTTACCCACGCGTCGGTCGCGTCCCTTCCCGTCGTTCTTGCTAGTTAATCTTAAAAGATAGACATTTAGCGTCGTGGACTTTTTTTTAGATTATTTAAAGAGGAATCATTTTTAAAATATTTTGGGTATCTTGAACCGTTTTTGTGGCGTAATCGGAATAAATCCTTTTTTTCACATTTCTCACTGTATCTTCGCTTGTATTCGTCACAGGGCGATGTTTAGTGATAGCTTATATAGTCTTCCTCGATAAATGTTCTAACCAATACAAAAAAATAATAATTGAATTCGAACCCGTAGTCCTGAGATTAGCGCGTTCAAACATACAAACAAACAAACTCTTCAGCTTTATATATTAGTATAGATATAGATGTATAAAAAGAAAATCGAGACTGCATAATCAGGTGTGAATTACTTCAGTTAAAAAAAAGAGCAAACCAAGCCATTTGTTTTCATCAAAAGTAAGAGCGTTTTAAGCAAAAAATGGTACACGAGCCCGCGGTATCGAGAAAAACAAAACACCTGCCGTCACTTGCAGTACGGATGTAATCAATCAGTTCTAAGGGGGGAAATAATATCAAGGGATTTGAACGGTGTGGCAACTAAACACGCGAATTTGAATAGAAGTTGGTGCTATTAAGTATAATTTGACCACGTTGGGTCATTGTTATAAACTAATTAACTAAGCAATATGCAAAAGCTTAAACGTATTTACCCTTATAATAACGTTACCCCCTACGTCTTCCACTGACAGCGTTGCTGCAAAGCAATCGAAACGTCGGGCCGTAGTTACTATTACTTGTAAGTATTAAGTAATACATTTAGGGTTTACTCGCGTTAACTACAGACAGTACTTCATATAATATGTCCGTGTTAAAAAGTTTTATAAAAAGATTGAATGACCTCGTTTTTTAAACAAACAAATTATAGCTAATAATCAACGTGTCGTGGATTCGATACTTAATCAAATTCGTGATCCGATGTAGGCACAAACTAATTATATTTTTTCTGAAACATGTTTCACTTTGTCTGAAACTCTAAATATTTAATGATTTCAGGAATATCAAAATCCCGTCCAGTTTACGAACCACCGTCCACAGATGAAATGTTGAATTTTTCAGTCTGTGGATTTCCAAATATCGAAAGCCAAAAATAGGTAGTCATCGCATATTGTTTAGATGGCTACCTATGGCTGGCGTATTTCCAAAACAAAAGGAAGTAGTTTTACTAACTTACATATTAGTCACATTATATAAAAGTGAATGTGGCATTTTGTGGCCCAACACTCGTCAATCAAAACAGCAAGTCAGGATAGCCTCAACAGTGAATGACCCAGATCTCTTGTCGCAAAACAACTGCCATAAGTATCGGAAATATTCTTTGTTATATTAATAGCTTCTACCTGACTGTGCGTTTTTCCTTTCATTTGGCGAAAGAATTCGGTCTTTTTGTTGTCTCATGTAAACTACCCACTGTAATTCTACCCACATATAACTTCACTTTAAACTTTACTAAGATTATAAAACTAAAAAGTTTGTTTCTTTACGCGCTTATCTCAGGAACTAGTTCTAGTTGAATAATTATTTTTGTGTTGATTAGAGCATTTATTGAGAAACGTAATAAGCTATAAACATCACGATGGGACTTATAAGAGCGAAGAAGCAGCGGGAAATGTGTAAGAAACGGGGAAATTCATTCATTTTTGAGGGTTTTCGTAGCGTGCGCATCGCAAACGGTTGGAGATAACCATAAAATATGTATAGAAGAATTATTTCTCTTTTAATGAGCTAAAAAATGTCCTCGACAGTAAATGTCTATCTTTTAATACACGAAATTATGAAGATCAATTTTATATTTAAATTGAATTAAATGACGACAAGGGCACAAGGCGCCCTGGATTTGGTGCACTGAATTTTTTTAATCTACATGGATTTTAAATTTATTCTTTCGTTCTGTTATTCATAGGCCAGACCCTCACCAGAGCAGTACCGTAATGACGTGTCGAGAGAACAAGATTATAGTGAGGTATTTTAGTTTGTTTTTATGAATCATTGTCATACATTATTTTAAACCAAACTCATTTTAACCGTTTAAAATGCGAACTTAACTTTTTTCTACTACATAACGACACTCGGTTTCACTCATCCAGTTCGCGTTTTAAACCGTTTAAAGCGTTTTAGTACATAATAAGTATCGTAACTTCAACTTTCAAAGTATGATTAAAATTACAAATTCTTCCATTTCAGAATCAGAACTATGCATTTTCATACGTCGTAAAAGATCAGAAGAACGGTGACGACTTCTCCCATAAACAGCAAAGCGTGGGTTCCGCTACTAACGGCGAGTACAGGGTTCGACTCCCTGACGGGCGGGTCCAAATCGTCTCCTATACAGCTGATGACAATGGCTATAACGCGAAAGTCAGATACGATGACGACCAGACAGACTTTAATTTGAACAAATATGGATCCGATGATTATATAAATAGAGCTAATTATAATACTAACAACGATTATAGGGATAACAATAACTTAAACAGCTACGATTTTGGCAAAGTTAACTACAGAGACGAAATACCAGTGAAGGAACACGAATATGATTCAAAGGAATACTACGATTATTCCGCTGAGAATTTTAAAAGCCCACAACTCTATAATCCAGTATCCACAGCCAACCCACTCTTAGCCACTACAATAGCACCATATATAAACCAGAGGTACCAAACGACGCCGTACCAATTTTACCAAACACAACCACCAACAAAGGCGACGCTACTACAGAATTACCAGACAATAGCGCCGTTACAACAGAATTTTCCATTGAGCAAAAGCGAATTTTCGCAGAACTATCGGTCCCTGCAATTAGACGCGTACACTACGCCGTTCCCCGTATCCACAGTTAGGCCGTCATATGACGATATTAAACATCTATTTACAACACCCAATTATAATAATGTAGAAATAAACAGTCCCTCCTCCTATTCCGATAACGTCGTTTATATTGGCGCAAAGAATCCTAATTCGTTACATACGTTTAACGGTGATAACATCTCTACTACTCCGAGTTCTTATATCGCATCCTCGTTAAATAATTTGAATGACAGAATCAACACTAAGCCGGTATTGTCTAATGGGTTTTTAGAACGGATAAATAAATATTTAAGTTTTAAATAACTAACGAAGTTACTATCTTTGATGCAGTGGAGTAGATCGCGAGGCCCCTTTTTTCTCAGTCAAAACAACGTTGAATTGTATTAGCCAAATTAATATTAAACTAATGTTTATCTAAATAAATTGTCTATTAAATGATAACAAAAAAATTCTCAAACCGACATTTAAATAGATATACTTTTCGACGTTGAACTATTAAACATTGACAATTTTTAACCCTTTTTTAGTAATAAAAGAAACTTAGTCCATGTGAGTCTCTTAGTCTGCGAATATTGCATTTACAAAATGTATATTTGGGTTATGGTCACAGAAGCAATAAAAGTACTTTAAAAACACGGGGGTTCCCCGTTGCACGCTAAGTTCTTTAGTCCCGTCGCCGACGTCGAACGTCGCCACTGTCGCTGTCTAGGGTGATAAAGATTTCTTAAAAAAGTTACCAAGTCGCCGGTATGGTCAATTACCGCTACTAGTTGTGCCCGCTACTTGTCTACAATAAGCTTGTGCCCCCTATTCTCTTAATAAGTTTTCTAAGGCAGGACGTCGTCCGAATCTTAAAAGATAGATATCTCTCGGACATTGTTCCGACTTAACTAAGATTAACTGTACTAATATTTAAATAAAACACTTTAACGGTTTAAAACACGATATATTAGTTGGGCATAAATACTCATCTTAATTCGCAAATTTTCCCGGGTGGCACCAGCCGTGGTCTCGGGGAGACTAAAGATGGAGGATGTCTCTGACGTTAAAGTAAGCACGACGCATCTGTTCCGTAATTGGATTTGGGAAACTGGCCGGGCTGCAGAATTTACTAACATCCTTTTTCAAATAGATATAATAATGTATCGGACATTGTTAATTTAAGTGTACTAGATTGTTGAACTCGAACAATAGACAGTAAGTACTAAGATTGTTACATGAAAAAAGTATAACTACTAAACAACTAGACTATATTATAGTAAAGATTTAAGATTGTTTTACCCTAAAAATGTAAATATGCTAAAAGTAATTTTCTTCTCCTGTTATTTATTTAAAGTTATTTAATTAAAGTTTTTTTAATGAAAATCGTTTCTTGTTTCATTATCCTCATTGCCCTGGAGGCATAACGAAGCCTGCTGACGTCTTTCTAATACATATTATTCTATTAAAGACTTAATGGTTTTAATCCTGGCCGGGTACATCAAACAAGAAATTAGAAGAAAGCAAGTCTTTATTCCTATTGCAACAGATTCCATATTTAAGTAAGAATGTAGAGTGTATGAATAAGAATTAACGGGTCGTGGGTTTGATTTCCATCGGGTCAAACATGTTTCTAATCATATTGTACTGTACCTATTGTTTATTGTCACATTAAAAAAAAACACATATATGTATTATGGATGTATAACGCCTACACTTAGGGACATAATATATACAAAAAAGAGAGTAACCGATTCTCAAATCTACTGAGTAAGTGTATAGAATTTAATAAAAAATCGGTCGAGCCGTTTCGGAGTCGTGTTAATAATATTGTATAGGAGATTTGTATGTGTTGGATAAACAATATCTCTATAAAATACGTATTTAAAATACCTTCCACACGCGACTCCACTATTTAACAACGAATAGTCGCACTGTTATAAGTGTTATCATAGTAATGTTGGACTTGAAGCTTTAATTGTTTATATATTTTATTGTATATATTGTCCTCCTAGTGACCACGACTGCTGCAAAGCATCCGAAACGTCGGGCAGTAGTTAAATAAATTTTCAAATAAGTCTAACTAATATGTATCGCGTTTTACCATTAAAGTGTTTTATTTAAATGCGTTACTATAGACATCTTTTAGTGTGTTTTTAAAAGATAAGCTTTACCTTAATTTGTACTTGAAAACTAGTAAGCAAATAAACCCGTGTATTAAATTTGAAGCACAGCTGCTTTGAAGTAAAATTGTTCTCTTCAACTAAGTGGCGTCCGTCAAAACTGTTTCGCGTAGCTTAGGTTGATATTTAGTGAATTCAGCAGACATTTAGTTGAGATAGCTCGTACTGAAATTTTGTGGCTTTTTGAAGACTGCAACTCGCTGAAAATTATTGTGGAAAGAGCATTTTCTATTACAACTTAGATAGTTTTGCTTTTCAGCACTCATGGGCACTAGCGCTCCCAACGTCGAGTCGTAGTTATGTAAGTATTCATCGACTATATTTTGTTGTTCCACCTAACTAACTCATTTAAGTAAACATAACATAACCAAAAACGAATGAGTGGATGAAGAACTGAAACATCAGAATATTTTAGTTCTACAAAGAATTTAAATAAAACACTTTTAGCAGTGTAAAATGCAAAATATATTCTTTAACATATTTTTCATTTATTTTAGCATCAAAATCTTAGCTCCCACACACGACGTTGTCCGCGTCCCGTAGTTCTTGCAGGTTAATCTTAAAAGATAGACATATTACTGACATTTTTAGATCGTTTGAAGAGGAATAAATGCTCTAACCGGGACAACATGGATGATTTCAATTCGGGCCAGTAGTTACTGAGATTAGCGCGTTCATACAAACTCTTGAACTTCCATATTGTATAGATATATTTACGTGAATGACCACACTCTCAGTACTCGCACGTGCTTGAGAATGTTTTAATCTAAATTATAAAATTCACGCGCAAATTTCGTCTCATTTTAATACGGTGCATAAAAATTTATAAGCATAAAATTGAGTGCAAAAGTGAATTTTTAAAATATTTTCGTCACAGTACGTAGCCGGATCTTCTTTGGCAGCTAGCCAGCGGACTCAGCGCACGTGACTAGCAGTTCCATAGGGAGGTCTTAAGGTCGATAACTAATGTCGATATTTTATTATTATTATCTTACTAGATTGATTGTCATATCATTAACATTTTTTATTTTGAAGAGTGTTCAAAAATTTGACCTATAGATACTGTCTGTAATTTACGCGAGTAGTGCACATATAAATGAAACACTTTAACGGTTTAAAACGTGCAATATTGTGAATAATCGTGAAATATTTTAACTACAGCCCAACGTATCGGATGCTTTGCAGCAGCCCTGGTCACGGGGAGACCGTTGAGCTTAAAAAGTATTAAAAGTCATATTTCCTTCAAATATTGAAGTTTAAAGAATAGATTTAAGTGTTGAATTATATATTTTATAGTTTAATATATTATTTTAGTAAGGAGTCGAGACATGGATATGGATGGAAAGATAGAAATAAAAAATTAGTTCCATATTCATCGATAAATTTTATCGATAGTCGTGAACAAATCACTAGAGGAATCGTTGGCAATAATCGACAGTCTATAGACCGCAGCTTATCTCCGATAGCGTATACACTTGCAATTTTATAGTCTACTCTTTTTAGCCACTAATAATAATTTATAGACCCGGAGCAGTGACTTAATTTTGGACCAAATTGGCGATCAACTTTATAACACCGTAAGCTGTAAAGGCCTAGTAAAGCTATAGGTTACTAGTAAGATAATAGGTATCGACTCTCAGTTGTTCAATTAGTTAGAGCACGGAACGGTGACTGACGTTGCCGGTTCAAGTCCTACGCGAGTCGTATTTTTTTTTATATAGTGCCATAAGGAGGAATAACATATGAACAATATTAAAGTTTTCAGTAATAATCAAAATAATAATGTTACACATAAGTATATTTAAAACATCATCATCTTGATATGTTAAACAATGACAGCTTTATATACATTAATTATCCTAAACAGTAGAACAACGGCATGGAAATATTAGTCGTGTGGGCGAGTCCCGCCCGTGTCATCAATATTTAAAATAAAAGTACTTTATTATTTTACTTAAGCCTGTTAGGAACAATATCTAGATATTATTTAAAGGTATAGGATTGCTTGCTTTGTAACAATGACTGTTTTGATTTAGTTAATAGAACAAAGGAAATTTATGATAAGTATTTCACACTCTTATGCAAAAAAAAATACTATTAATTACTTATTGATACACTAGCCATACATATTCGCAGAAATTCTGTCTACATATTTAACTTGTACCATTATTTCTATGCCTGTATTCGAAAGCAGGATCAAAATACAAGCGTTTTAATAATATCAACCCGCTTGAGTAAAATGCACGATAAAAATAAATACATATAATAAAAAAACCGTTTGTCTGTTAAGATGTAAATGACAGCAGTTCTTTATTGACATGTGTTTGCACGCCATTTCGTAGATGTAGAACTAAACGCTGTCTTAGTTGGTTTTTATAAATTGTCGCGTCGTATTTATTGGTGCGAATTATTTTTATTTGTGTTAAGGCCCGAGAGATCATGCAAATTTTAATGTCATATACAAATGTTTTCAGCAATGATTCTAATATTACATACTTTTTTTTTTTATATAAACTTTACTGTACAATCGCATTATTTATAGTCTATACTTGTTAATCAAATTCGTTATCTGTATAAGTAGTTTAATCTATATTCTATACACAAGTCACAAAATGGAATGTCAATTGTCAAAATATTATAGGTTTTGAACTGTTTTTGTCACTCACTATACAAAATATTAAATGTTTAAGAAGCGCAAACTAATTCTAAAGTATACCTATTTACTTGCACGCTGTAAATAATAGTAACTTCTAGATATAGGTAGATGGCTGAGTATGAAAAAACACCGTTGAAACTTTACATACAAGACGTATACCGGGCTACACGATCAGAACAAAATAAATATGTGTATGAAATACTTGGTATATATTTTAAAAATGTGATGCTGCACGGTGTAGTTACCTCTGTTTATAATGCTTCTAGTCGATCTATTAATATTGAACTAAGCGATTGTACAGGTTTATATTTGTTTAGATATTAAATAAGGCATACATTAAATTTTAAGTTATATAGTTTTAAATTACGTAAATAGCTTCACTTTCAGGAACAGTCCAAGTCTTCTGTGATAGTGCCAAGAAAGATAATAACATTACACAAACATGTTTAAAAGATCTGACGCGAGATTTTGCTAATTCCTATAAACATGGAGATGACAAAATCAATACAATGTCATTTCTGTTAAACAAAATACAGAAGAAACATAGCAATTTACTCAAATTCCAAGAGGGTGACTATGCATCTATTGTTGGGGATGTATTTGTTGATGATTCAAACACAAGAATGATCTCTGCTTATGATTGGCATATTACAAACATGGAAAGGGATTTAATTTGGATGGAAGAATTGAGACATTTGTATAATCAATGTTACATTAAGTGAAACATGTATTTAGATGTTATTTAACTATACATACAAGGGCAGTAATGTTTTTTAACAAATTATAGCATTAGCATATTTGATTTATTCAATATGCTATAATTATTTTATTAAATTATAATATATTTAAGTATTATTTAAAAATAAGGCTAATTGTCTTAGTGCTTGTCTGTGAAAGTCTTATAGGTGCAATTTATACATAAAACATTAAAAGATTGTATTTTAATTTTTACAGAGTATCATCATGCTCTCCAACACCTCTATAGCCAAATTGTTAAACGATTTGCCTAGCATTGCGCGAGAGGTCCTGAGTTTGAATACCAGGGAAACATAAAATTATTTCAGTTCGGTGGGGCACAGAAGTCTGATCAACTACTTGTCTGGTAAAAAAAACGGATCAGTGAAATAGACACAGAAATGTGTTTGCCCATGCCCCGGGAGGGGGAAATGGGCTTTCACTTTTTTATCACCATGCATAAACCCTGATATGTGTAGTAAAATGACAAAATATAAGCTATTATTGTTCGTTTACCCAGTCACGAAAAAATAATATTGACGAATAGGAAAAGTTCTAACATACAGTTCTCTATAAACTATTCGCACACCCTCTGACGCAACTGATATAATACCTACTTTTTGCGTTCTGCGCAACCATCCCGGCTAACTTCAGTCCGGCCAAAAAGTTTGGAGACCACTAAATGTGACTTATACAACTAAAACAAATTCCAGAGATATCAGCAACAATTATTTGTATGTATAATATTTTTCGTACTTGAGCACCTGCTCCCATAAATATATTCGTGCGTTTGATACAAAGTTTTGCATACTATAGATATGCAACAAACGTATCTTAACGAAATGATGACTGCAGACAATAAACATATTATTGGCAATTTATTTGGTTATTTTTATTCATTTAGTGAATTTCAACGAAAACAGAAGTGCCGGTCAATTGTCTGTGGGTTGGCGATTGTATGATCGTATCTCGTTATAGACTAGGCACCACACGCAAGAGGCGGACCAAAGCTTCGGCTTCGTTCAAAAAAACAGCAAAAACAAAACGTTACAGCTGTTACGTTAAAAATAAACTTTGAAATAAGGTGTGGGTGTTTCTGTATTACACAGTTTCAATAATTGCCACAAGACAAATATGAATCTCAATTATGACCGAATTTTAACTTTCGGCTTCAATATCGAGTCATAAACCGATTTATCGGTTTACATCGAAAGTCAATTATCAATTTATACCTAATAAAAACTACTCGCTAATTAATAAAAGTTATAACACTTCGATAATCTATTTAGTATTTAGTGCATTACCAGCCACTCAACTGTAAAAATACTTATTATAAAACAGTTTCTCTTTTTTGATATTCATAAGTCATTAAGAGTTGCAGGTAAATTGAGAATCATTTATTTTACAGCTAATATTTTGGAATATCCACATTTAAGTGCTGTTTTTCAGTTCATGTTACATTTTTCAGAGCCATGGCTAACGAAGGTATATCACGACAAGAGATAGAGTCTCTTTGCAAAACTCCAAACCCTGCGACTCAGGTTAGTTGGTATTCTATGTATCTAAAAGAATATCTTATTGATGATTAAATAAAATAAATCAATATTTATTGATTACCGTATGGCAGTATATGGTCAAACGAGATCATAGGGAATAATTAGGAATTGTTTTACATGCTCGTAGTTCGCATTTTCCTCACTCTAAACTGCTTTATCCTGGTTCAAAATATTCACTTGTTGCTGTCATGAGTTAGCATGATCTTTATAATTTTGTATACTTAACAACCTCTATTATTTTGGTGCATATGTTAAATTATTTCTGGTATACTTGGGCGGTTCTTGGATTTACCAATTATGTGGACTATGAATATATATTGTGCATTAAAGAACAGAGTATAAAATATATAGTTTCATTAAAGATATGGTGTTCTGTCTGTTCAAAGCGTTTAAAGAACATGTTTAACCGATGAAGCAAGAAGGCAGTAATGGCTTTTTTTTAAATACTAGGTATACTACTTTTATTGAAACATATGTTTTGAATTCAAAATTTCAGGAGTTCATGTTCCAACAAACTATGTATCGGATTAAAGACCCACGCAAGTCTATCCCATTTTACACCGGCGTACTTGGGATGACTTTATTGAAACAGGTCCATTTTGCGGAGATGAAATTTTCCCTCTTCTTCATGGGGTACGAGAATCCCAGTGATGTACCTAAGGATGAAGCTCAGAGGACTGCGTGGGCCATGTCTAGAAAAGCTATATTGGAACTAACACAGTAAGTATTTAAATTGTTTAGTAAAATGCTAGCATATTTGCCAGGGAGAAGACCAGGTGTATCACTATTTTTTACTCTAAAACAACTACCTCTAGTAGAAAGTAATCCAACTTAAACATGTATAAGAGATCTTGAACCCATATCGGGGTTTGGGGTGTGTGAACAAAGGGTATTCAGTATGCTTTGTGAGTTAACAGTATTTTCATCTATCGGTGTAAAAGTGAAATTCCGTTTCCCCCTCGTGGGGCATGGGGCGATTACATTTTGTTCGTTTGACTGATCTGTTCTGTAACAGGCAAGTAGTTGATCAGACTTCTGTGCCCTGCCAAACCGAAACATCTTTTCGTTTCCGTAGGATTCAAACCCAGAACCCCTCACGCTTAATGTAATGCTAGGCAATACATTTAACCATTTGGCTACAGAGGTGGTAATCTATCAGTGTAGCAAAACATTATTTAATGTGTGTTACAGAAATTAATTCTCTTTTCTGGTTTTTGGCCCTTTTGGGATATTATTGACTTCTCACAACTTGATTTATCATTGAAACCAAAAGTACATTATCACAGATACAGTATGACCCGCTGCCATATTTATCATTATCGATTTTTTTGCGAGCATGACTACGCGGTATTCAGCAATAACAAACTGGGTAAATAACATTCAACCTTGATTAATTGTAAAGATCTTAAAAACATATGCCATAAGCTATTTGTAGGTATAAAAAAGAATAAAGTAAAGTCTGTGAAATGTCTGAAATGTTTAAAAATATTTTTTATGCATCAATTATAGGAAAATCTAGGTAATAGTTAATTCAACTATTATATGTATAGTATTGGATTAATACATATTATATTCTGAATACCTGTGTGAACCATTATTATTTTATCGGGGTCACCCATAGAAGGCCAGGTGATCAGTCCACATCATCAGCTCACCATTTCACCCATATGAAAACCAGAGCCCACCATCTTGTGCTTTCTGTTAACAGTTCTGGATATTTAACGTTTCCCGGTCCTTAGCACCTCTATCCCACCACCACAAGTTTGGTCTCTCGGACTTTCGTCCCCTAGCTGCGATTTATTTAGCAAAGCTCTTGGGCCTCTTCAAAATTTGAACATAAGCTTATTAACTAGGCATAGATTAAGCATAGAGTACTATATTATTTCAGTAACTGGGGTACAGAGAGCGATGAATCAAGCTACCACAATGGGAATTCAGACCCGAGAGGCTATGGTCACATTGGTATCCTAGTCCCCGATGTTGATGCAGCTTGTGCCAGGTATGCTTCGCCTTGTATTGTCATTTGAATACAAAACTTCTAAAAAAGATAGGCTATAAACCTATTGTGGCTTTGGAAAACCATAGTTTGACAAACGCGATTAAAGTAACAACTTTTTATCTGAGGATGGTGGATCGTGACCGGGACTAAATTTTGATATTGCTTCTCTGCGTTTAATTTCCAGAGTTTCAGATAAAATCCAAGATGTAACGATGCGTTGATTGTTGGCTTCACATTGCTTCAATAAGATTAACAATCTTAACTCTATTTCTTCTAAACACATTAATATTTTTCACATGTTATTGCACAAGGGCACTATATAATTAAAAAATCGAAAATAAATTGAAAAAGTCTCGTGCAGCTCAGCGCCAGACTTCGTGCTATTGCTCTACCAATTGGTACCGAGTTCAACACCTCATCGTCGAATTTTTCAACTTATTGACAGCACCTCTCGCGCAGTGTAATTTCAACTTCTGCGGTACTAAGGTTCAAAGCAAAGGAAAGCTGACGATGCCGGTTCAAGTCCTGCCCGAGTCGAAAATTTTTTCAATTTATTTTCGATTTTTAAATTCTATTTCTTCTATTCAAAATTATTTCTTAATTTTCATCAATAATATCTATCATGTACTATTATTAACAGTGTTTTTTTTTATTATTATTCATGAGATTTGTTTTATCTTTAAAGTAAAACTCTTTTAACGGTTTTAAACGCGAAATATATTAGTTAAGTTTTTAACAATTTATTTTGGAAGCTTTATAGCAGCCGTGGGGGGGACTAAATATGGAGAGTGTACTACGTAAAAACAGATGGCGTAGAATACCACATTTTACCTTAGTCACCACGGCTTCTGCAAAACATCCGAATCGTCGGGCGGTAGTTAAATTTAAAAAAAAACTCATATTTTTCGCATTTAAAACGGTTTTTTTTTTTTATTTTAATGATAAAATATATTATTCATCATAAAAAAATACTAAAAAACGGACACCCAGTAAGGATTACGGTAGATGTTATTAATATGATAGATAATAGATATTATTGATGATAATTAAGGAATAAATTGAAAAAGAGAAAATGGAACTCAAATAAAATATAATAAATATTTTCAGATTTGAAGAACAAGGGGTTAAATTCATCAAGAAGCCGCAAGATGGTAAAATGAAAGGATTGGCATTCATTCAGGATCCAGATGGCTATTGGATTGAAATTTTTAACCCGAAAACTCTGAAAGAATAAGTATATTGTCTGTTAAAAGAAATTAAAAACACTTTAACGGTTTAAAACGCGAAATATATTACGTTATTTTTGACAGATAGCTTTTAGCAGCTCTAATGGCGTTTCTGAAATTAATATACTAAATAGATTAATATACTTTGTGATTGAAACTGTTAAAAATGTTTTATTTCAAATGTACCATGCGTGAATTACACAAAATACTTAACATCATGCCATTAAGTGCTTTATAACTTTTGTTAACTTTTTCTAGATATTTCCTATGAGGAAAAAAATTTTCGATAGATATCAATTTTGTATGTGTTTTTATTCATTGTTAAAAATATTATGTTTTTATTGCATGTTATCCCAAATGTGTCCTGTATCTTCAAAATATAGGCTCTTCGTTACAAGCTTAGTTTCATTTTAACATTTAAACTATGTTTCATATTAAAAAAAAGTGTTATTTAAAAAATATATTTTAGTACATTGATATTGCTATTATTAATTCCATATTTTTAATTCCTGTTGGAATTACAAAAATATTAATACAATAAGACGATAGTGTTTAAAGTTGATAAACAATGCCAGAATGAAGCCGCTTTTATTTCACTACACATGGCATTTGAAAAGTTGTCTGGCCTAATAAATAACTTCAGAAAAGATAAATGCCCCAAACGTTTTTTGTCATAACAATAATCAGTTAAACAACAATTTTACCAAATGAAACGTTGTTATACAGTAGTTTGACAATCGTTAGTCGTCAAAGTGGAAATTTTTCGTAACGTTAGTTGGCAAGTGATTATGGGGCAAACAATTTTCGGCGAAAAGTTAAAAATCCATAAATAATACAATACGTGTCGTAAGATTTCAATTAAACCCATATTTGAAAGTAAAAAGTTAAATAAAAGTAAATATAGGGCTCAAATACATTTCAACATGACACTACCGTGTAGTGTTACCCTTATTATTATCATGTATTATTGTAAATCTCCATTTTCAAGGTTGCCTGGAAGAAATCGCTTTTTAGCGATAAGGCCGCCTTTTCTCACTACTTTTTGTTAATTTTTTAAAGTTTATTTTGTAACATTGTGGTGAAAATAAAGTATTTTTTGTTTTGTTTGTTGTTTGTTTACCGTGCACATTCGTCTGACGTGTTATGGCGTCGCTATACCCCCCTGCGATTATAATCAGAATTGCTCTTGATATGGCATTACAAAAGGACCGACACGCAATTAGGTGTGAGCCCTTTTTTTACAATTCTTCTCTGATGCATCAGAATCGTATCGTCAGCTAATTGTAAATCAGCCCTAAGAATCACATAACGATATTCAAATGTAAATATAAAACAATTGATTAATGTCGAAAGAAGTTAATAAAATCAGGCTTAAATGCAAGCATTTTAAAACAAGGCAGGCCCGAACCAAACAAGTAATTTGTAAAGGATGAATTTGTTTTGTAATTGCCAACCGCGACGAATTTAAATTTCATTTTACAATAAGCAATAATTACCTTAAACCGCTTACTTAAAACTTTAACAGAGAGAATTTCATTAGTAGCCTGATTCATAATACAATGTAAAACGTATTTTCAACGATGTGCGTATATTGAACCAAATAGAAAATAATTGGCTGATAATACTGTTCTAACATAATTATACGGTTATTTGACTTTAAAGCCCATGTCGATACTATGTTATAATTTTTCACAGCACATTTGACAAACTATATATAGATCGTGCCATTGTTATTGTAATCTAGTTCAGTAAAGATGAAGACGTTATTGTTCGTTCTGGGTATTGGCTGGCACGCGGGTTTTGTTTCGGGTGATATTCTGGTAAGCTTATTACATTTCTCCTTAAGAACTAAATACTCAATTAAAATAACATGCAGGTCATAATAATATACTTACGTATATATATTTTTTTTTAGAGTGCAAATAATGCAAGTGATTTATCAAAAGTTGAATCCAGGAAAATAAAACACACAATATCTAGAATATTTAGCGTCCCTCACAATCATGCGAGAAGCAACAACGGGGAGTCATACAGAAAATTAATTGATATACTCACAAATAAAAAGGCACAAAATCTTGAAATTGGGAAAAGTGACAACACTACTGGTTACAGTGATACTGAAAGTTTATCATCCCTGTACAGTGATGTTGCAGTACCCACATTATCAAATGTACAAACATATCATTCTAAAGTTGATGAAGTAAAAGACGATGCCTTGAATCGTGCAAGGTCGAACTTATATTCAATTTTGCTAAATAAAAATGCCAATACAGAAAGCTCTTTAGCTAGTCTCGTATCGACTAAAGAAACAGAATTAAATGCCGACACACTCAGCGAGATAATACAAAGCCTCAATGTAAATAATCTAACCGATTTGGGTCAAGAGCAAAATAAAATTCGAAAAGGAAAACTAGTAATATATTACGACGATAATGAAGAAGCTACTGAGAGTCCAATTGAAATAACTACTAAATATCAGCCAAAGCAGAACCAAGAACATGAGGATGAGCCCACAGAGAGTATAGAAGAAGAATTGCTTAACATGTACATAGAGTATAATGTACCTTTAGAAATTTATGACGAAATAAAAAATCGAAAATATATACATCCCGAATATCGCATTAAAGATTTTGTTATTAGCTTTCTGAAATACGTCATACAAAATGGGCAGCTAACTTTGGAAATATTAAAGAAGCTTGAACGTATTATAGAAAAGGCAACCATCGATATAGATCTTATAAAGCTGCTTGTATCAAAGGTGAGTTTTAAATTGGTTTGAACATCAATTTTCAAGTTATAACGTTCGCAAGGAACGCATAACATAACATTAACAAATTATAAATAGTAAGCTCGCATAGACGCGCGATAAAGCTTTCTGTTGGTCTAAGTAGTAAGTACGGTTCTATCTTCTACATTGTTTAAATATATATTTTTTAAAACGCAATACTTATTAATTTACAGAATGATAACGCAAATTCAATGGGAATTAAAACAATAACTCGAAACACTGTTACAGACGCTATTGAAGGTATTTCACAAAACACAAAGGTTCTAGCGAAAGAAAATATTTATCTTCCAGATGAAACTACTACAATATTAAATGCGCCCGTTATTAATCAAATCGAACATGTGTTAAAGGATGATACTTTAGATAGCAATATGTACGACTCAGATGTTGCAAGTACAGTAAGAAATTTGATATTAAATCCGAAAAATTCAATCAATCCAGCTGTAAGTCCAGACCAGAAGAAGAAATTAAATGACATTATTTTTCATCCCTCTCTGGATATCGTCAAAACGACGAATGAAAAATTAAGTCCTGTCATAAAATCAAAAACTGGGCTCTTTGGAACAGATTCAGTGACAAAATCTTTTGCAGATCTTAAAAATAGTTTTCTCGAAAGCATTCCAAATAGTAGCAATGGTCCTAAAGACATTGTTGGATCTTTTTTAGAGCAAAGCAATGATAAAAGTAATCAAACAAATATAAGTGAGAAAATTGAAAGTCAAAATAATTATGAGACCTCTCAAAACGTTTTCGAAAACGAAAGACCAGCTAATATTACTTCAGACGATGAAATGGCATTATCGCATGACGACGCTGTAAGGGAAGCCTTAAAAGATATTAAAAAGAAAAAGAATCTAAGAATTGTACATCCTGAACATAATTGCGATGACTATGGACTTTGTGAATATGAAAACGAAATCTATGCATTCGACCTTAAAAAACTCAAGCATTTTCTTAAGGGTGAATTGAAAAATGTAGTTCCACAATTGGATAAATTAGATACAAATGTTCCTGTTTTATCAAACAGACCTGTTGATGAATATTTAAAATATAATAAAGGAAAGCCTTTTCTCATATATGTTGTTTTTCCGGATTCCGATAAAAGTTTTCGCATTACAAATGAATCGGGTCAGATATTAACGGATGCTGAAAATGACATTCAAGATGATGATACCTCTGTTCTGCAACATAATAATCCTACGGAAAATAATAAAAAAGGCATTCTAAATTTGATTAAGATTAAGAGCCTGGATTCTGAAATACCTATCGATAAAGAAGTGGTAAAGAAAAACACCTACAACGATGTGGTTAAAGAGATAATACAGAGTTTACCTGAAAAAAATAGACCTGATGACCTCTTAAATATTTTCAAAAAAGCAAAAGTTGTAGATCAAAGTTTAAATCCCATGTATGATTATGATTTCAATTCGTCTTTAATCAACTTGTTGAATACGTTGCCTAAAAATGAAAACAATGACTTACGTAATAATGAAAATATATCTAATTTCTTAAAGGAGCTGAATAGCATAACTACTAATCAAAAGCCTAGCCCTGATTCCGCTGCAAATAGCAATTTGCCTAGACGCGATAAAATTATTGATTTATTGAAAGAATTGGCTAGCACAACGAAGAGTTCAAATCCTAATGCCGACAATGAACAAATTGGTGATTTACTGAAGAAACTGGTTAGTATAACAACTAGTCCAAAACCTAACCAAGATGATGTACATATTGCTGATTTATTAAAGGTACTAGCTAGTCAAACAGCTAATCAAACCCCAAACCCCAATAGCTTAACTGAATCTGATATTATTAAAGAAATTATGCAACTTATTGCGAACCCTAAAGATGACAACGACATTAACTGGACACCAAGAACAAATGTTCTAGAAAATTTAGAAAAAGACATTTTATACAAAATTGATGAAGTGTTATCGAATCCCCAAAAATATTTAAATCTCTTATTTCAAAATTCGCCCCTACTTAATCACCTACGGCGGCTTATTACTGATAAGAATTTATACCAAAAGTTATTGAATCTAATAAGAATCGGTGTTAGAGGTATTCAAGAAGGTAATCAGACCAAAGAGGCGGAAGACAAAGAAATAAAAACATTAACAAATGAATTGATAACGCAATTAATATACTTACGGGAAAATTTGGAAAACAGAAACGTACCTAGGTCAGAAATTCGAAGGATCATAGAAGGTGAAGCTCAAAAGGGTATTTTAAGAATATCCACACAAAGCACTGCATCGTGTGCCAAAAAAGTTAACAAAGCAATTGAGCTCGGTATCTTTAATGCCTTAAATAAAATACGAAATAATTTGTGATTAATTTTAACGTACATACTCATAAATTTTACTGTTTAGAAATTAATGTATTTTAGTACCCAATTTTGTAATTTATAAATATGTAAAAAATAATATTACAATTAATTTCATTAAACAAAACACAAAATACATTCTATTATTTATAATCTTGATAAATGTTGCAATTGTTGAATACATTAATCGAATGTATGTAATTATTGATAGAAAATTTCACGCCGATATTCTCACAATTGCTTATTTGCTTCACTTTTATCGGAGTAAGCGTTAATATCATGCACCTTCGACTTCTCGTTTTTTTAATAGTTATTGTTCCTGTTTATCTCAATGAGGAGGTAAATTTATAATAGTGAGATATTTTACAATTGTTGTCAATAATTCATGTAAATCATTTTGCCCAAATATTACGATTTTCAGAAAGGAACGAAACACTTTGATAAAACTGAGACGCCATTTGATCAGGTTCGTAATCATGTGTAAAAAATTATATAAGGTCTTTCTTTTGATACATAAGAAAATAATATTACTCATTTAACATACTTTTAGGCCCCCAAAACAAGAAGTGATAGCAACAATTATCCCTTTGTTCAATGCCCCAGTCAAAAACTATTAAAAGAGACTTTAAATATTCTCAGAGAAAATATAGATAAGAAAGAGATGCTTAGCCCTGAAAAATTCAAACAGATTTTAGATAAAGCGGAAGAATATTTAGAGACGACTCATACACTTGAAGAACAACCTACAGATATACACGTAGAAAATCTAAAAAGATATTTAGAAAATCCTAATCACCGTACAAAAAAGGAAGTTCGAACATCCCCACTGCCATTGAGCAAGTCAGAAAACTTAACAGGGAAAGTAACTTTTCAATATGATTTGCAAGGAATCAATCCAGACTGCAAAGAACTATTTAATGGCGTTGTCAGTGCGATAAATGCAGTGTATCTACAGATGAAGACATTTTGTGAAGCAACAGGCATATGTAATATGAAAAATGAAAATCCATTGTTACAACAACATGTTGTTCCACCATACGGCCGTTTACCATCAGCATCTGGTCAATTGTCGAATAACCCAAATATTATAGACTTTTTAAGTTCGTACCCGCAAAATGGAAATGTAATGACTTTACTACAAAATTATAAACCTAATGTTCCGAATTTTATGTTTGGAAATATTTCACCAAATTACAAAGAAAACTCTGTCAGTGGCGAAGGTGCGCAACAAAGCATAGATTTGAATTCATTCCTTCAAAGCCACGATATAAATGCTGAACCCTTAAATAATGGTATAAACTGGCAATATTTAGCTAAACTCTCACAGCTAAATGTGCTAAATGGGAATCAAAAACTGGATCCTTTTACTTTTATTCAAAGTTTCCGACCTAACTATAATGATGGGCAGAATCAGGACGAGCTTACAAACTTGCCAGGGGACTTACCAAATCACGATGTAACATATACTCCAGATGATACTTTAATACAAAAATATAAACAAATTGGTATAGTAAAAGATAGCAAAATCCCTAATTCAAATCAACTGACTTTGAATAGTGTGAACAATGAAGAAAGTGATGGTTTATGGAATGACTTGACCAGAGATCAACCTTCGTATCTGGAATTTATGACTGTATTAAACCAACCTACTGGATATATTAGTGTACCACAATCTCAGAATAATAACCCTCTCGTCAACCTAACGACACCTCCAAATAAAACAAATGAAAATTTAAACAATCACGGAGGATTCGTTGACTCTAGGATACTTGACTCCAATACATTTGGAAGCAAAGTGATTCTTGGTAAGAATTTTACCGAACTAGTGGCTAATATTTCTGGCGACATAAACGACTTGCGTTTAAATAATAATGTGCAAAATTATTTTAGACCAGCAAAAAGCCAAATACCGTTTGGAGTAAATTTGCCACTGAAAGAGATAAATTCTGACAATAAGATGCGACCACCTCCGATGTATTTAGAAAATCAGAATCCTTTTTCAAACTCTGCTGCAAACTTACATGGACATCAAAATTCACAAAATGTTTTGAACTATCCGTTCTATAATCAGCAGCAACAGTATTACAATATGCCAGCAAATATTAATCCGCCTTCTAAAATTTCTAAGCATACACATCAAATGGCTCCTCAACAATCGTATCTCAATTGGTACCAAAATAAGAGAGACGATTTCCACCAGTCTTTTCAAAACAAAGAGTCAGTAGGTATTCGACCAGAACATGATATAACGGGACCAGTGCCACCCTATGCATCATTACTCCAACAGCAAAAAGGAATCCCATCAACAGATTACCATTTTGCACATCATAATAATTCCCTTGAGCTCAGTGATTCGTTTCGGTTGACAAGTATGACTAATGGCCCTAAATTGAACATGGTGCCCAATAAAAATGGTGTTGTTGAATTAACATTTACGCTACAACGTCCACAGTCATATGTTTACAAACCGTTGTATTACGTTAAGTATAGACTCCCTTATGAAACATATATGTATAACGTGCAAAATCTGCTCCAAAGACGGCCCTTCTTAAGAAATAATCCATCTAAACTGTATCAAGATCTGCTGGCCGTCGCAAATATAAGTGAATCGTCTCAAGATTTAAAAGATTTAGCCAAGGAAGAGATATCTCATTTAGTAGCTTCCAGTGGTGCTCTCGTCAAAGCTAGAGTGTTAGATGAATTTGGTGAAGCAAACAAGGGGGTGGATAGTGATATTAAAGACATATTAAGATCGGCGTCCGGGCTAAGTGCCGCGGGAATATTAAATGCCACCAAAGAAGCAATACATGGTGTAGATACAGTGATGAACAGTACATCTGTAGATTTAAACAAAACTTCTACACTTAAAGAAACGCCTATCGACTTACCAACTAAATCAATTCATGCAAGATCTTTACGGTACCCAAATCCTACGCTACCTTTAACACCCTATCGCTATCCATTTAATACGAACAGAGGTTATGGTGCAGGAATGAGCAAATATATTAATAGGCAAATTATGATGCCTTCACGGGTTCTTGGGTAATAATTATTGAATTAAAATAAAACACATACATAGCAATAAACGTATTATTATTTTAAACATTCAAACTACACTAATTAATAATGGAAAATGAAAATAACCGAAGTAGACTTAGATTTAAGGCACAAAAAAAATCCAATAAAAAAAAGTAAGACTTTAAAAATTATTACTTTATTGTGAAATTGTGAAACGACAATGAATTTTGTATAACTATTGTATTGAGCATGGAAAGCGATTTTAAATTGTATTGTGTTCAAAGTGATTTTGCTTTCACAATAAAAAAGTACAACGCAAAATGTTTAATTCAAAAAAATACCTTTTAAATAAAACATGCTGCTGGTCACGGGGAGACCGTTCCCCGTGCCACGGCTGCAAAACATCCGAAACGTCGGGCCGAAGTTAAAAATCATTTTCAAATAAGTTTAACTAATATATCGCGTTTTAAACCGTTAAAGTGTTTTATTTAAATGTTTACTACTCGCGTAAACTATAGACAGTATTTAAAAAAATACCTTTAAAAACAAACATTTTACCCCTTATTTTTAATTATTCCCACAGACTGTCTATGAAAGGAGGAGAAAATATCTGACTGTAATATTATCTGTGATAAATATGAAATACTTCATTGTACTTAAAAATATTTGAATCTTGTTATGTAGTATGTACAGTGTTTCTTGTTTTCATTAAAATGATTATATTTAATAACTTTAATCTTCGTTAAAATACTAAGTTATAAGTCGAGTCATAGTGAAATAAAATAATAAATAAGAGACGTTTGTAAACCGAAATACCGGCTCATTTTAGAAAACAAAAGTGGGACTTATTTTACAGAAGCTCTGAACTTACCATATAGAATATTTATTATATTTCGTAAAATGAACGCTAGGAAACCTATTTTTCAAAAGCCAAGTAAGTATCTAGTAAGTGTTATATTTTAGTATTAGTCACTTACAACAAAGGTGTTTTCGTGTGATAAAAGTTTCATTCTTATTTATATTTCAATTTTGAAGTATAAATACTTTAATTAGATAATTATGTTTATTTCAGGTGACGATATTCTGTATCCTGTACGAAACAAAAATGGAGAAATAGAGACTTTAGTAAATCCAAGCATAGACTCGGCACTAACAATAGATAATGATTCAAAAACCAATGTAGTATATAATCGGTATCACCACTTACCTTTAGATGCTCAAAGACAGAAGTTACCAGTGTTTCAGTATAGAAATCATATATTGTATTTGTTGGAAAAATATCAGACATTGATATTAATTGGTGAAACAGGATGCGGGAAGTCTACACAGGTTCCACAGGTAAGTAAACTCTTTCCTGACTTAACAATACAAGACAATACTAGGTCTTTCTATGGATTTAATTCAATGGCAAGTTTTATATTAGCCTTCTTTGTGTTACTGGACCTAAGTATTTGAACATTTTCTATTCTCGACTCCAAGAGGGGAATACGGGAATCGATTATAGGTATTTGATCAGTAATTGATATAGAAAATTATATAACACTAGACTCTAAAGTTCAAGACTATTTCGAGCTATAACTCCACAACTCAGTCACCTTTGATGAATAACTATTCAGTTATATGCTTTGATCTAAAGTTTATTGGTTTGTCTGGCTATACTTATAAAAAGCTTGTAATTTCTTATTACATCTTGGATCCATCTTATTTTTACATAAGAAGATGGTATGCAGGAGAACTTCAAGTCCTATAATTACAAACCATAGACTGACAATCAGTTGTAGGTTCATAATATAAAACTGTACTCAATTGTTTAGTCCAAACTTAACCTAATTTTTCTTGAGATGAACAATGTATAGGTAGATGAAATATAAAGATAATATGAAATCGGTTGTGTCTTTAAAAATAAGTAATAGTTCCTTAAACTAATATTTCACCATCACTATGACATATTGAACATTTTGTAGCATCTTATTTTCGATAGTTGAAACATAATAACTATTTATTTGAATTTTTTAATATTTTATAAAGGAAATATCAAATAATGTTAAGTATTGCTATATATAAATAATAAGGAAGAATCACAATTTCACAAATATAGTTTCCACATTGCTAAGTTTTATCTTATCTTTCTTTTACTTCAGAAATAATAAATTCTATGTATTTAATTGACTGCCTTGTAGTGAGGATCCTGGGTTCGAATCCCGGGGAAACAATAAATTGTTTCGGTCGGGTAGGGCACAGAAGTCTGATCAACTACTAGCCTGTAAATAAAACCAATCAGTGAAACGGACATAGATGTGCGTTCGCCCACGAGGGAATCGGGATTTCACAAAACAAAATGTATTTAATATCTAGGATGTTAATAATTACGTAAATTAACCGTAACGCTTCCGTTTATTTACTACTAATATATAATGCGTTAATTTACTATTCCCACATTCAAATTAAGCCTAATTATTTTACATGATCTCATTGTAAATGAAGTAGGTATCATCTACCTGTTTAATTTTCTGATAACATATTCTAAGATGTTCGTGTCAATGAATTTTAATGGCTACTTAGTATAATAAACTACTTGAAGTAGTATCTTCACGTAAAGATACAAATTTAGTAGTATAGGTTATTTAAACAACTTTAAATACGAATAGTTTCAGTAAAAGGATTTGAAGTTATGCTTTTCAGCTACCTCGTAAAGGGCGTACTGCAAGTTAAACAGCTTCAAATTACTAAAAATTAAAACAATAAATTTTTTTTACTTTTGCTTCAATAATAAATTGGTAACGCCTCGTTCAAAGCTAAACTTAAAATAACAATTTGCGCGTTATTATACACGAGCGATAAATACACAGGTGCATTTTAATACTATGAAACGACAATCCTACTATCTACTATACAAAAGTATCAATGACTTATTAAAAACACGTTTCGCCCCGTCAATTGCGTTTTGGTTGTAGCCAGCGTGCGTTTTAAGGTCAACGCTAGACAGATGTTAGTTTTGGGAACGGTTTACGGACCATTGTTCTTTATTCTGTTCATTGTTGTCATTCAACCTCCCACGGTTGGTCCGTGCGCACGCACGTTGCTTCGTTCACTCGTTCGTTTCCAACGAATCTATAGCGTTCTGTAAACATTGACTATTGACGTGCTTAATGAAACGTTGAGCCCTCAGCGGTATTTGATGGCTCGCAAACCGATTTCTAGTGAACCAAAGATAACTTTACGAACTAAATAAAATGTGGAGCGTTTTTACGAGAGTCGTGCCGCGTAAAGAATGTGCAGTGCGGTGACAAAGTGGATCGCTGGAAAGAGGCAGAACGCGTAGCCTAAGAAATTTAAACAGTGCTGTATATCAATAGAAACGGTGTGTAAACGAATGAAAATAAACGGAATCTGGATTGTGTAAACCGTGCGTGAAGCAGTTTTTTTATTTTCGACCGTGGTAAACTCGTCCTTCGCTAGAAATAAACTTGCACATGCGTAGACGATATACACAATATTCAAGATGATGTGGCCTTCGTCTCAAGCCAGTAAAATATTAACGTTTCTCTTGTTATTAATCGTCGTGTATTGCCTCTATATGGACACGCTACTGTACTTACGAATACAACGATACAGCCTAGACCAGTTCGACCCGAGAGAGAACGTTACTCAAGACACGACAACATTCAAGAGTATCTTTAAGAATTATGAGGAGGAGATCTGGATACCGTGCAGCATAAATCCCCTATGTCATCCCACTGTGAAAGCATTGATGGTCGATCATATTAATCACTACATCTATGGGCCACTTTGCTCCGTCGTAGACTTAGCTTTAGGTATATCTAACAAAATGGTACTTTTGACACCGAACATGATATCTTTCTCACATGTTGTTATCGCCTTGATTGGGGCTAAGCTTCTGACCTGCCAGAATTTAGCTGTACGTCGTGTTGGGGTCGTACTGTTTCAAATAAGAATGTTTTTAGACGATCTGGACGGTCATGTTGCGAGGGAAAGGAAACATGTAAAAGGGGAGAGGTCTGAGGTAGGCACCCTGGGGTATTGGGTCGACGGTGTGTGCGATTTATTAGGAGTCATATTCATGATGGCTGGTATCACATTGTACCTTAAAAATAATCCACCCAGACGTGGCTACCGAGGTACTCCAGTCAGCACGCTACCTTATCACCAGTTAAAAGAAATCAATTCCAGCGAAGATATCGAGAAAGATCACACCACCGACATTGGCATTTCGTACAAAACAAAAGTGTCCTTCCAACGAATCGTCCAAGTGGTTGGCCTGTTTTCTGGTCAAATGTTACTGTCTTCCCTAGCTTGGAATAGATATATAGATTTATACCAAAATATGCTTGAGAATTGCTTGGAATACGATGTCGTTAGGCGTGTAGCGGCTTTCAAGTCGACTAAATTCTTTATTGCTACTGGTATGTGGAGAATAGTCAACCCGCATAGTTATTTACATTTACTCTCTCTAGCGGTGTTTTGTGATAAAACTTGGAGTTTCTTAAAAGCAGTCCATTACAGTGGGTATCTTTGTTTGGTGCTTGCGGCCGCGGCTTCTGAGTACTTTGTTGAAAATATACGTTCTTTTGTCGTTAGTGGTATTGATTTGTAAGAGCAGAGAAAGTCATTTGAACACGTGTTCATATATGGGAGTAATCCAGTCTAGATTTTGTTGTTTCTCAAGATAGATAGATATTAGTGTGCGAAAGATCTGTTTCATTTCGTAATTTCACAAGAATTTCGATAGAGCTTCCTTTAAATAAACTAGTTGAAGTTTTCTTTAAAAAAGTAAAATTACGGCCGCAGCTTAAAATTACTTTACTAATATGTAAATATACCAGTAGTCGTTCAGAAGGTTATACGGGTTTTGGTTAATGGTGAAATAATATTTTTTTAACGATTCTTGCTTCAACTATTTAGTAATTATAATTGTTTAATTTATTATTACGCAAAATAAGCTTCATAAAACACAAACTTAGGTATCTCTGTTCTGTTTAGCATATCTTTCGAGTCTTAAAAATGTATTTCTCAAATATGTATGAGGTGCATTTTCCATATCTTTATTGAAATTGAATTGATTGTGATATTGTCATGTAGAAATCCATTGTGCCAAAACAATGTGGAATGGTGGGTCTGTGGACTGATTTTTGTAGATAATAGGTGACACTAGGTTTAAGCACAACTGTTGAAAGAGATAATTTTAACTATATAAAAATGTGACGATACAATTAAAATGGTGAGAGGTGCTTATATAAGCTATATGTAAAGGATGTAACAAAGTTATTTTGATGTTAAACAATTCTCATTGTTAATCGCGTGTTGAATACTTGTTATAAGTGGCAATAGATATACCTACAAAGTTTATTTTAATAGTACTACCTCCTTTGCTTTTATAAAATGTTGAGTCTCTGTAGAATGAATTATGTTTTTTTTTTCAATATTCTCATGGTTTTTGTATCGACAAATATAGAGTAAAACTGTATGTGGAATTGTACTTTGACATGTAACCAGAAAATTACCACAGATCGTTTTTGTAAATAATATTATCTTACTCTATTGCATATTCTGTAATAACGTATTGTTCACGCTGCTCACGACTATTTTTATGGCTTCTATACACATTTTAATCTTAGACATGCGGGAAACCAATTGCGGTTTGAGATTTTCTTCGTATGAAAATTTTCCAATTTCAAGTCCAAGATGCTGTCAAGTTACGATAAAATTATTACGTGTTATAACTAATGCGATTTCATAATTGCGCGTCATTGTTTAATAATAATTGTCCGTCCAAAGGTTATTATTATTCAAGAAATTATAAATCAAAATATAGTTTTTACATAATATAACAATATTTATATACAGTTGAGATTCCAGTCGTAAAATTTCAAATTCAATATGTATACTTACGTAAAGATGTAACATGTGGGCGAGCATCGTTTATTTATAGTTAAAAAGAAATTTTAATACCCACATGTGGGACGATAGATTGGTAGTTATATATTATGTTTATTCATGATTCGAATCCAAGACACCCGGCCCGTAGCCGTTAAACGATAAGAGTCATTGCGCATTATCGACCAGTCGCCGGCGATTTAGTCTCTCGGCGACCAAAGTGTTACTTGCCACGATTCGGTAAGTCGCCAAGTTGCCTGGGCTACCGACGACCAAGTGCCTCAGCGCACTTTAATTTAAACCATAGTACAGTTCTCTCCAAACTTTTTGGCCGGTCTGAAGTTAGCACGATCGCCATCTTGCGCATGGTACCGTCAATTTTAAGCAAAAGTTCGAGTCACCCCGCATCCGCGCACCCCCTATGTCGCAACTGATACCTGCTTTTTGCGTTCTGCGCAACCATCCGCGCTAACTTCAGCCCGGGCAAAAAGTTTGGAGAGCACTGTAACTTACATTGACATTGGTTACCAGACCGTTATGTCAAAGAATAATGAATCGCCTTATTTAGTTAATAATTTTTGTGTGGCATGAATGATGTGAAATTAATTGTATCTTACACCATTCAATTACGTAATTGTTTTTAATATTATAAGTTTATTAGCATTATCTGTGATGTATAATTAAGTCCCGGTTTCTGTAGATTGTAGAGAAATCTTATAAGCGCATCTTGTATTAAAATGATCTACTTTTAGTCACTTTAACGGTTTAAAACGCGATATATTTCAGTTAAACTTGTTTAAAAATTATTTTTAACTACGGCCCGATGTTTTGGGTGCTTTTCAGCAGCCGTGGTCACGGTGAGACTAATTTCCAAACAAGTTAAACAAAAATATATAGCGTTTTAAACCGTTAAAGTGTTTTATTTAAATGTGTACTACTCGCGTAAACTACAGACAGTATAAAATTATCTATTTATACGAAAATTTATTTCCCCAATGTTGGCAATAATGGGTTTATACGCCAACAGTTAAAAATAGCTATATTGTTGCGTATTGGTGTAGTTCGTAATATTTCAGAAACTGGGTTAATTTAAGTTCTAATTGTTATATTTTTGTTTTAATATATATAATGACCGCGTTATTTGTTAAGAGAAACACTAGTTTTAGGGGTATAATATTTAAATGCAATATTATTTTGATGATGTCTTTAAGATAGTTACCTAAAACAGTAGCTAAATAAATCATTATATTTACAAAACTATCCAGATTTTTTATTGATAATCATTCTCATTCATAAATATGTAGTAAATAAAATTGGTTAATCCGAGTCGGTCTCGCGCATAAAGGATTCCGTATTATACTAATTATTGGACAAGGTTTTCTCAGGGAAGTCAGCCTTTATAATTTTTTAAGGAGTTCTTAAATTAAGTAATTAATTTAAATTATTTTTAATTATTTAATTGAGTTAGGAACAGAGATATAGAGAGGAGAATATTATTTATTAGGGTTAGGTATGCATTAGGGGTTTACGATTTCGTTGCGGAACCCTGAAAACAGGATCGTACGTTGTACAGTTTTATATGAAAAAAAAAATTACAATAGTGATGTAATATTGGTTTCCTATAATTTTTACATTTTCGTATATATGTAATACGCACAGAAGAAGCATAGGTATGTACTTACGTTTTAGTGAAAATGCTATAAAGTTACTAGAAGTGAAAAAAAAATAGTCGGTGAGTAATCAACAATGGTACACGTGTTTTCTATAAGATTACATCGGCCTGTTTTTAACACCTGCAACTAAGATTTTATAGTTAGCTAGGATGAACAATTCATATTATTTTTAATATTCAACTACCTGCATAGTAATAGTTAAACACTAAGGCTTGGGTTCGATTCCTGGCAAACCAAGAATAGTATCGAACGGGAAATACAAATGTTAAAGTCAAAATAGGACGACAGCGCATTTTGTTAAGATACTATAGGCTGGAGCTCACCTACCATCAAGAGAATCCCATGCTTGTATTTCGACCTATATGATAAAAAAGGCACAGATTTATGATCTACCTTGTTACCTGTAAGTAAAATCGATTAGTGGAGATATAAAAATGTGTTCGCCTCATGCTCCATTTATAGAAAACGCTTTGGGATATAAACGACATTGAAATTAAAAATATTTATGGCCTTCTGTGCGCAAGCGCATAATACTTAAAGATTATGCGTTCTACTTGTGTCAGTATAATAACCTCCATTCTATGCTTTTTAAACGTTAATAGATTATTTGAATAAAGTTTTAAAGCAGATTAGTTTGGCATGCACCATTTCGGTTCAAGGCGAACGCCGACATTTGTTTTTCCAACGAGTTAATTTTTATTTAAAACATTTTAACAGTTTAAAACGCGAAATATAATAGTTACCTTTTTTATTTCATACTAGCTGTGCTCGCGACTTCGTCCGCGTGTAATAGTGACTTGGTGTAGAATTTTTAATTATTTTAGGCTGTTTATTTATTTATAAGTAAGGGCGCATTCAAGGCAGCCAATCTATGTTGTATGTGCTACTTTGCCGAAACAGTCTCACTGTCACTCCCACTCTCACTCCCTATTCCCAAAAAAGCCAAAGAAGAAAGTTTCTTTGTTCTAGCTTCAAAAACAGACAGACAGAGTTACTTTCGCAATTATATTATTATAGATAGTATCTATAGATTCATTTCTACGGCCTGATGTTACGGATGCTTAGCAATAACCATGGTCACATAAAAAAAAAAAAAAAAAAAAAAAAAAAAAAAAAAAAAAAAAAAAAGGGGGAAGGGGGGGAAAAAGGGGAAAAAAAAAAAAAAAAAAAAAAAAAAAAAAAATTTTAATTAAAAAAAAGGGGGGGGGGGGGGGGGGGGGGGGGGGGGGGAAAAAAAAAAAAAAAAAAATATATTTTTTTTAAAAAATAGGGGGGGGGGGGGGGGGGGGGGGGGCCCCCCCCCCCCCCCCCCCCCCCCCCCCCCCCCCAAAGAAAAAGGGGGGGGGGGGGGGGGGGATAGAGGGGGAAAAAAAAAAACCCCCCCCCCCCCCCCCCCGGGGGGGGGGGGGGGGGAAAAAAAATTTTTTTGAGAAACTCCCCCCCCGCCGGGGGGGGGGGGGGGGCCCCGCGTGTTTTTGGGGGGGGGGGGGCAGCCGTCCCCCCCCTTCATTGTATGTGGGGGGGGGGGGGGGGGGGGTGGGGGGGGGGGGGTCCCTTTTTTTGGGGGGGGGGGGGGGGGGGGGGGGGGGGGGGGGGGGGGGGGGGGGGGGGGCCCCCCCCCCCAAAAAAACCCCCCCAAAAATGGGGGGGGGGGGGTCTTGCCCCGGGGGGGGGGGGCCCCCGGGGGGGGGGACCCTTCCCCCCCCCCCCCTTTTGTTTTTTTTTGGGGAAGCCCCCCCCCCGGGGGGGGGGGGGGGGGAAAAAATTTAAAAAAAAATTTAAAAAAAAAATCTGGTTTGGAACCGGGGGGGGGGGTTTTTTTAAATCCCCCCCCCCCCCAAAAAAAAAAAAGAAAGGGGGGGGGTTTTTCGCGGGGGCCCCTAACCTTGGGGTTAAATCCCTTTTTTTTTTAAAAAAATTTTGATATTTTTTTTTCTTTTAAAAAAAGGGGGGGAAAAGGGATTAAAATTTTGGAAATGTTTAAATTATAACTTATCGGGTTACAGCCGATTTCGGTCGGTCGGGGCCATTTGGGATTTTTAATTTATATAACTTAAATAATAACACAGCGCAGTTTTTATCTGTTCGCTTCTATTAGAAAAAAAAAAAAAAAAAAAAAAAAAAAAAAAAAAAAAAAAAAAAAAAAAAAAAAAAAAAAAAAACCCCCCCCCCCCCCCCCCCCCCCCCCCCCCCCCCCCCCCCCCCCCCCCCCCCCCCCCCCCCCCCCCCCCCCCCTTTTTTTTTTTTTTTTTTTTTTTTTCCCCCCCCCCCCCCACAAAAAAAAAAAAAAAAAAAAAAAAATTTAAAAAAAAAAAAAAAAAAAAAAAAAAATTTTTTTTTTAAAAAAAAAAAAAAAAAAAAAAGGGGGGGGGGTTGTTTTTTTTGAACGCCCCAACCCCAGGAACCAGGGGAAAAAAAAAAAAAATTATTTTTTGTTTGTTAAATCTTTTATTGGAAGGGTATAAAACATCGCGTTGTGACTATAGAAGCGAAGATAAAGAGGGAAATGTGAATATAACGAGGGAAATTTTTCATCTCTGTGGGTTTCAGATGCGTACACTGCGCAAACGGATCAAGTAACCTAAAAAATGTGTATGAAAGAATGATTTCTCTTTAAATGATCTAAAAAAAGTCCGCGACGCTATATGTCTATCTTTTAAGATGAACTTGCAAGAACGATGGGAAGGGACGCGATCGACGTCGTGGCTAACAGCTTAAGTTTATAAAGATGACCGGGTTTGCAAAAACTAATTAGGATGCCCAAAATAACGATTCTCGCAGACGAAGTCGCTGACACAGCTAGTATTAAAAATAACTACGAGATAGCGTGTGAAATAAATTAAATAAAACTATTTAATTTTAAATGTTAAATTATTTATTAATTATAATCATAGTAGAACTCAACCAGACCGCCACAGATAGTGATTATCAGTGTGATTCAACACGATGTATGTATTTAAAATGGTGCTCGAGTGAAGTGATTGATAAATGCAAAATGTTCAGTAATTTCTGTGTCGAGTGGCTTCTGGGAAAACCCCGCGCAAAACCTAACAAGTCTACCAATCGCGTATTTAGTTTTATACCCGATTATACGATTCTATACCTAGATCGTTTAAACAGTAGCGGCTTAAAACGTCATGGTCAGGGGGGACCACGGCTGTTGCAAAGCATCCAGAATGCCACTATATTATAATATATAAAATAAGTACATAAATAGTAATATGTTTCGCCCTTTTAAGCCGTTAAGAGTTCATCTAAATGTGTGAGAACTCGGTTCCCATATACGGGGCATAGGTCAGACGAGATAAAATACTGTATTTAGTTCACACGCGTAGTAAACATTTATTTAAAACAAATTTAACGCTTCAAAACACAAAATGTTACTTGTTTTTCGTTACCCGGACGGGGTTTCGATTCCTATCACCCAATTATCCAGATTTCCAGACGAAGTCCATGTCTTGAAATCGTTCTATTTAAGTCTATTTTGTTATTTTAGTACCTGTATGAAGTCGGTCACAAGGTGTGTGTAACCCAACCTCGTGTTACGGCGGCCGTGTCGCTCGCGTGTCGGGTGGCTGAAGAAAAGGGGGATGCGGTTGGAGGGGACGTGGGGTATGCGGCCGCCATGACAGCCTGCAGGTCTCCCGACACAGGCATCGTGGTAAGTAATATCCACTGCTCGACATAGGCCTCTCCCAAAGCATGCTACACAACAGTGAAAAACACTCGATGACGACATATTTTTGTTTTTAATTTTTTTGCCATTATTATTTAACTCAAATAATTGAAATTTAGGACTTACGGTCACAGTAAATAAATAAACCAATCAATATTATTTACCTACGGCTGTGCGTTTAAAACAGTTGTTTTTTTCTTCTTTTAATTGCATCACTATCATAATTACCTTGTAAACTTTTTACATAATTACACTCGAGCGATATTTTGTCTTTTAGAGTTATTATGGTGAGAAAGAAAATATATATTCCAGTCGTGTTTTTCTTTTAAAATTGTTTATTGCACATCGTCTATAATAAAACACTTTTTACGGTTGAAAATGCAAAATGTATTAGTTAAACTTATTTACAAATTATTTTAAGTACGGCCCGACGTTTCGGAGGCTTTGCAGCGCCTAGGTCACGTGGAGGCTTAGGGGAGACGTGGGCCGTAGTTAAAATAATTTCTCAATAAGTTTCACATTTCGCGTATTAAGCCGTAAAATATGTTTTATTTAGATGTGTACTACCCGCGTAACTGTAGTTACAACAGTAATTTTAAAGAGGTTTTATGAACGTCCTAAGATACTGAACCCGGTAGGTATGCATAACGTAATATACATATACATAAGTAACTTAAATGCGTGGTGGTATTGTTTTTTTTTAATAATATGTAAATAATGGTGGTTAGCCACTTACACGTAGCTGGTCTTCTCTACCTCAGTCTGAAGAGTCCAGGGTTATCTACTGGTTTAGTTGGAATGCTATTACATGGAAGACAAACCAATAGAAATCGACATACCGGATGGAATTGCGTAGTAGTATGTTTATATGTTATATTATGTAAACTTCTACCTTCCAATGATAGAACCGATGACGTCATCGAAGTACCACAGTCCACAGCCGACCCTGACCGCTCGTGAATCACGCGGGGTTAAATCTATAACAAAGTTGACGCGTGACATTAAGATTATAATTGAAAGTTTAGCTCGTTGGTGAAATGGCTAATAATCAATGGGTCGTGGGTTCGTTCCTAACCGGGTCCAACGTGTGTCTAATATTTTTTCTGAAACATGTTGGACTTCGTTTGGAAGTCTGGACAGTAAATGGGTGGTAGGAATATGGAATTCCGTTCGGGTGACGAACTAGCGACCATACTAATGATTCCATTTACAATTAAGTATATTTATGATCTTGTGATTGGTATGAGCTCCACCTATTATTTTTTCGCCTTTTTTTCCGAGAGTCGAACGCAGGATCTCGAGGATAAGGCAACGCAAGGTAGCACAATGCTACCTGCAAGGGCATTTAACTACTAAGGTACAGACATTTTTTTACATTCATACTGTTTTTTTAATTATTCTTAAAATAGTACAATCAAAACTTGTGTTTACCTTCAGAAAACGCAACACTCGCTTAACAGCTCTTTTTCAAAGTGTATTAAATTTGGTTGCATAATCTAGCACCCACGATACCTCGTACAATAAATAAACGACCTTATATTTCAAGTTTGACGAATCAACAAAAAAGACACAAGGTTAGGAAATACGTCTTCCGTTATTGTATTTAAGGGACAAAATGTTTGATTTATCTAGTTATACTAATTAGCTGATATTAAATAAAAGATTTAACGGTTTAAAACGTGATAGATATATTGAATAATATAGTTAATCCTTTAAGACGGCTGCTGCAAAGTATCAGAAACATCGGGCCGTAGTTAAATTGATTTAAAAATCAGTATATTTTATATTTACACCAGCTGTTAAAAAAAGTCGATAACGCTATATATGTCTATCTTTTAAGAATAACTTACAACAACGACGAGACGCAGACGACGTCGTGGGTAATAGCTCAATTTTATAGAGTTGAACAGGGGGTTTGCAAAAATAAAAATTGATATCCAAAATAATTATTCTACGTGTACGAAGTCGCGTGACTCAGCTAGCGCAAGAAAATATATAAAAAAGAAAGCATAAACTTAAACTGTAATTCGTTTATATTCGGCGATCTGTTAAACTAAATAAATCAAACCAACTCTGCGTTCACGATTAAAGCTAAATACAAGTTAGTTTAAAAGTGTTATTTAAAATAACTCTTTTCCCACTGACATTCTAATAACGGAGGCAAAACTAATCTTTGTTTAACTTTTCCAGTTCATGACAGAGGGCGTGCTGTTGAGAGAAATGTTTGCGTCACCTCTTCTTATGCAGTATTCTTGCATTGTTTTGGATGAGGTAAGAAAATACTAAAATTTAATACTGACTGAAGTTTACGCGAGCAGTAGACATTTAAATAAAACACTTTAACGGTTTAAAATGCGAAGTAAATTAGTTTAACTGTTAAAGTGCTTTATATAAAGACAGTTTTTTTTATGAAAATTACTTAAGTGGTTTGCTCTACTTTAGTATAGCTTAAACATTTATCTGCACTACCACAATGCAACCGGTATTTTTTTTAATAGTATATATGCTGTCTACATCTGTTTGTCGTTTGTCGTCTACATTTGTTTGGTCGGGAGTTCGATCACCGAGAGCGCCAAGATTATCTTGTTATACATTATAATATGTGCTCTTAAAATATCGCAAAGAATCTGATTTAGGATTTCCAAGACTTCAAAGGTGCTTTTGACGTAGTATATTACTCGTTGCGGGTTCGAGTCCCAGCTGTGGATTTAAGAGCTGAAAACGATGGAGATATTTATTGAGGATATAAACTGACTTCAGGTCCACGAGCGGTCACAGATGACAGATGTCTTGATGGGACTATTGAAGAAGATAGCTAGGGTAAGTCTAAAAAAAAGAACATGTAGGATAGAATGATTCCACTTTAAACGATCTAAAAAATCCGTGACTATATGTATATCTTTTAAGATTAACTTGCAAGAATGTCGGGAAGGGACGCGACCGACGTCGTGGGTAACGGCTTAAGTTTATAAAAATGAAGGCCCATGGCCAAAACAACAACTCTCGCGGATGAAGTGCACAACTAGTTAGCTCACAAATGTGTCTGTCCCATGCCACACCCAGAAGATTGATATTAAATGCTTTAATTTTTCCAGAAACGCAAGAACTTGAAAATAGTGGTGTCATCCGCAACGATGGACGCGGATTTCTTGAAAGACTTTTTCAATCTAGCTGATAAGAAGGACGGACAATTCGACACATCTGTCATTATGTCCATGCAAGGACGGACTCATCCGATTGATGTGTTTTATATAGAAGGTAAAATTCTTATAAGGATAAGGACATATACTATATTTACTTAAGTTTGAAGTTATATACTAATAACAAAATAAATGACGTTTAAGTAAAACACTTTAACGGTTTAAAACGCGATATACTAGTTAGACTTATTTGAAAATGATTTTTTACTTCGGCCCGACGTTTCGGATGCTTTGCAGCAGACATGGTCACGGGGAGACTTCCTTTTCAAATAAGTTTAACTAATATATCGCGTTTTAAACTGTTAAAGTGTTTTATTTAAACGTGTACTACTCGCGTAAACTATAGACAGTATTTAAAACAAATGACGATCAATTATTTTAATTAAATTTAACAGAGTTTAATTTCTAATTTAATTATACTTTTTTCTACTGAAACGTTTTAATTTTACTATATAAACTGATTAATATAGATTTTTATAAGCTCGTTGGGTCCAATGGTAGCAAAGTAGGGCTAATAATCAACGGGTCTGGGTCTATCCCCACCACCAACCACCACCCAGTGTTTCTCATCCATATTTTTTTCTGAATTACGTTAGACTTTGTCTTGTATTCTGGATATTAAATTGGTGGTAGGAATATAGGTCTACAGATGAAAAAGCTTAACCGCGTTTTAATTTCAGTCTGTGATTTCTGTAAGCCAATAAGTCGTTAGCACATCTTGCTTAGATGTTAAATGGCTGAACTGTTTCATCAACCCTCTTTCTGTTCTTTGTTATAAAAAAGTTTTTAGTCTTTATTTGCTTCTTCGTCTTCTTCTTCTTCTGTTTCTTAGTAATTCCTATTAAATATTTTCAGAACCCGCTGCAGATTACGTTAGAGCGACAGCTGACGCAATCATTAAGATACACGAAAACCAGCCGTTTGGAGACATATTAGCGTTTTTGACTTCACAGGTTAGTATCAAATATGTTTAAAGCTTCATGTGTCATTGTTAACAATCGTCTTCCCCGAGACACATTTTTCTTGTCTGTTAACAGACAAGAAAAGTTTCGATCTCACGCAACTAGATTAATAAGATTTGCAGTCCATGCAGCCAAGTGGTGATCAGGGTCCTGAATCCCTGACTTAATTTTGCCATGCCAGGCTTTAAACTTAATAATTTTTCCCTAATACAAGATACAAGTTATAGGTCAAGTACAAAAACTTTATTTTTATTAATAAACTAGCTGTCCTTGCAAACCTTCTTTATGAAGTATTTCTACAAAAGTTAATTACCATAAAAACGGTCCTTGTGAGTTGATCTTAAAAAATAAGCATTTTCTCATGTACATCTATTTCTTCGCTCCTATTAGTCGCAGCCTGGTGTTTTATAGCCTTCCTCGATAAATGGTCCAACCAACACAATATTCCATTCAAATGGTAGTTCCTGAGTATGTGTTATTAAAAAATCCTAACTTATATTTCTAGGAAGAAATCCTATCAGCGTTGGAAACACTACAGACGTACGCTGAAGAAAATAACGAGAAAAATAAATATCGTAAGACCTTCCCTAGTGGGATTCAAGCGGCGAACGTATCAGTGTTGCCAATGTACGGAAGTCTGCCCTTATATAGGCAAATAAAAGTATTCCAGATGGGCGACAGGAATGTTAGGAAGGTCGTCCTAGCTACGAATATAGCGGAAACTAGTGTTACCATACCCGGTATTGTTTATGGTGAGTTCAAAAGGATTAGTATTAGGATAAGGAGTTGTCAAAGAAAATTGACATACGGACTCCGTAGCATCGACTAAATACACAAATTGAATTATAAATAATAATATTTCAGTGCCCACCAGTTGCTAGTATAGATATATACATAAAAAAAAATAGTGGATAAGATTGAGAGTTTGTTATAGAAAATATATTCAAGTAAATAAAGGGTGGGGAAAAGCACACTCAAATTATAGTAAACGATTTAAAAATAAGGTTACGCGATTCGTACAGATTTGTTTAACACTGCACTTTTAACGGTTTAAAACGTGAAATATATTACTTAAACTTATTTTTACTGTAATCTTAGGGGGCGGCACCAGACGAATCAAAAAGTTTAACTAAATTTCGTTTTAAACCGGTTAAGGTATTTTATTTGAGCAACTGTAAAGTTACGTAAATAAATTTTAAGTCCATATTTTTGAGAGATATTGATTCGTTACATTTTATTTTTAAAATGGCAAACTATTGATTAAGTTCTATGTTTTATTTCCAGTTGTGGATTGTGGCTTTCACAAGTTGCCATATTTTGACCCCGTACTTGGTGTAGAGTGTATGTCTGTTTGTCCGATATCCAAGCACAACGCGACGCAACGAGCTGGCCGCGCGGGACGAACTGCTAGAGGAATGTGCTACAGGTAAAAAATATGAGATATATCTATAAAATTATATATACCAAGCGGTTGCTTTCTTTATTTTTAAAAGAGTTCGAATAAAACCATATCCTTTTTATCCGAAACGTCGGTTACATGAAGTAAAATTTAATATCGTAATATATACAGTACAATGTGTATCTTGTGTGAAATCGCGTTAGACATTTTTTAGTTTTTCCGTTTCACTGATAGGTTTTTTTTAGAGGAATGTTTTTAAATAAAACACTTTAACGGTTTAAAACGCGATATATTAGTTAAACTGATTTGAAAATGATTTTTAACTTCGGCCCGTGAACACGGCTGCTGCAAAGCATCCGAAACGTCGGGCCGAAGTTAAAAATCATTTTATTACTATATACTATATATAACTAATATATCGCGTTTTAAACCGTTAAAGTGTTTTATTTAAATGTGTACTACTCGCGTAAACTGTAGACAGGAATATTTTTTTCATAATTTCTACAATATAACTATTACCTACATTAATTAAGTTGATCTAACTTCTGTTTCCTGTTCGACGGAAACAATGCGTAATTGGGACCCAGCACCTCTCGTGCTTGGCTACACGTTTTATTATTTAGGTGCAAAGGTTGTCATGCGCAATGGTGTACCTTAAAAGTCATGAAAAATTACAGATTATATACAGAAACAGAGTATGAGAAGTTACCAGAGAGCGTACCGCCAGAGATGTGTCGCAGCGATTTGTCTGCGGTCCTCTTAAATCTGAAAGCGCTGGGCATTCATAATTTGTTAAGGTAAATATCATGATGGCGCCACCAGCGCATTTGATTGACAGAACGTGCTACGTCATAATTTTGGCGTCACAGACATATTGACAGAACGACATTCGGTAATACACAACCTTAAACCGACACGCGGCTTTTTCATTTGTGAACGGTTGTTCGTGACCCTGAAAGAGTTTTCGATATTCCTATAACCCATTAAATATCTGGATTTCGATTTGTTTCAGAAAAAGTATAAATTAATAAGAAAGTTGTACTCGGTGGAAATCAAACCTACGACCTACTACTCTACTAGGTGAAATTACCCAGCCTTGACACGATGCGCTGTCGGCCTATTTTCGCTTTGAGCATTCGAATATATTAGATATTGTATAAGAACAATCTACTGTATATAATCCTTTTGTAATTTACAGATTCACATTTCCCACTCCTCCGCCAGCAAAAAGTCTTCTATCGGGCCTAGAAACGTTATATGCGTTGAATGCGATCGATAAATCTGGTAATCTTACTGAAGATATTGGAAGCAAAATGGCGGAGTTACCTTTGAAACCGATGTGTGCTAAGATGTTGATCAATAGTGGTATGTTTCTAAAACTAAATTCTAGTTGACCCGGAATAAATTGTTGTGTGATCAGTCATACCAGTATTTCTAGCTTTTTGCTGGAGTAAAAAAATATTTATATTTCACGGTATAAACAGTTAAACATGTTTCATTTAACAGTGTTCTACTCGCGTAAACTACAGACAAGGATTATTAAAATGACTACTCTAAAAAGGGTGACAATTTTTGGTTGTATGTGAATAATGCCTAGAAAAATAAAAATTAAAATAATAATTAAAGTCGCATTATATAGATTCCGTCCTAGCCAATGCGCTTTGCCTTTGGATTTGAACTATGTTCTTTTTGTACATTTTACAGGTGAATTCGGTTGCGTAGACGAAATGCTAAATATTGTTTCGATGTTACAAATGGACAGCGTTTTTCCGAAACAGTCGACTGGGAAGGGAAACGTAGCAGCGAGGATATCAAGAAGGAATAATTTTGAGGTATATTAAAGCAAAGATTATTGTTGAATCACGTTCCCCCAACATGGGGAAAGGGGCAAATCGTTTCTCTATGGTAGAGGAAGACAGAAGTACGTAATCATGGGACGTACACTTTCTGTACCCATATCATCTAAAAGCACAAAAATTGATCGGTCGTGTGTTAAGAAAAACCGATCAGTACGAACAGGAACGAGTTACCTCCACGTTGGGCGTTTAAATATAATACTTTTAACGATTTTAAACGTGAAATATATAGTTTTACTGATTTAAAATTTACCATTATTGTCTCCAAATACCAACTTCGACTAAACAGATGACGTTAGCGTAGCAAATTTGACTTTGATTTGGGACACTCCGTTACCCCGTAAACCCCTAGCTGCACAGGATACGAAACCTCAGGCCGTAGTTAAAAAGGCAAACAAATATACTCAACGTTTTAAACCGTTAAAAGTGTTTTATTAAAATATGTACTAATCGCATAAACTACAGAAAATGCTTGCTTTCAGGTGGCTGAAGGTGACGTCATCATGTATCTCAATCTCTTGGACTCGTATTTAAAAATAAGAAATGTACAAAAGGACGAAAAGACAGCAAGGAAAGCCTGTAAGGACTGGTGCCAGAAGATGTTCGTTAACTATAGAGTTATGGAGAAAGTAAGTTACAACCGGCCACGTTGATTTTGTCTTGACCCGTTTTTCCACATTACCCACGGTTTCTCCGTTCCTATCGGTCGCAGCCTTATGTTACAAGCCTAACCTATAAATGGTCTAACCAACACAAAAAATATTTTTTCAATTCGAACCAGTAATTCCTGAGATTACGGCGATCAAATAAACAAAACTCTTCAGCTTTATATACTACAGATGTCGTTTTGGAGTTTGGAGCAGAGATACCGATTTTTCGTTTGGAAAAGTCTTAAAGCAACCCCTCTATAGTAATTTGAACTTTATTACCATTGTATAAAGTTCAAATGGTAATCGAGTGTCTTGAAAGGGAAAAGCGATCAAATATCTTTACCATTTTAGTATTATGTGAAATTGTAATGTTTATTGATTATTTTTATTGAAAAAGATGTCGGCTGTCAGGCACTACCGAGGTCTCCAAAGCTAGAACTAGATGAGACCTAGTTGTCTATAATAAAATATATTTTAAGTAATTAATAACCAAGACATAACCGAAATTACTTATAGCATTTAAAATAAACACTTTGACGGTTTAAAACGTGAATTTTAGTTAAACCTGTTTGAAAATTACCCGACGTTTCCGATGTATTGTACGTAGCCGAGACACGTCACCCCATGGCCATGGGGACCACCTCCGCTAAAGTGTTTTATTTAAATATGTACTACAGACAGTATTTACTTATAGCATTTCTATATTTTAGTTGGTTTTAAAGTTATTTTTTTTTTAAATCATCTTCAGGCTTGTGAAGTTCGGAAAAGCTTAGAGAAGTTGATAAAAGGAAAATTCAATATCGAGAATCAACAGTTTGAGGGCCCCGACTTAGGATCAGGTTAGTTAAACCGTTAAAAATTACTTTTTTTTATTTAATTGTATTAAGGTCATATTTTGTGTAGTGGTTTTTGGATTGGCCTTTCATAGTTCTGAATATATTTAGGCAATAACTGTCAATACTAGAAGAAGACAATCGTATTTTTATGATAGAGTAACTTAATGGAAGTTGAAACAAGAAGATGCGTAATATTGGTTTTAGACATTTTGAAATCCACAGACTGAAACCGAATCGCGCTGAAACTTGACTGCTTTTCATCAGTGTACGGTGGTGATTCGGACGGAATTCCGATATTTCTACCACCCATTTGATATTATACAGATCTCCACTGGAAGTCACCGGAAGGGATCGTACTTGAGACCCGTTGGCATTCAGCTACATTGTTGGCCTCCACAATTTCGAATTTTTTATTCACATCTTTTGTTACTTGTTTTCAGCAAAATGTGAACGTGTAATGAAGTGCGTGTTGTCTGGTCTGTTCCCTCAAGCTGCGTGTCTGGGCATCGAAGGTGTATACCGAGGTATAAGAGGGGCCCGGCTACACATCAGCCCGGATAGTTGTCTGTTTCACATGCAACAGCCCACATGGTAAGTATTGTTTTCAGTCGTGTAATAGTAGCCTACATGTATATACACTGAATCTTTATAGATATTTTGTGCTTGTCCTTTGTATGGGATTGTGGGAAAGAGACAATGCAAACAAAGTATATAATAGACCCGCCCGTGTCATACTTTTTTCAATCTTAATACATTTTATATGCCATCATATGAATAATATTAAAGTTTTAAAACTATTATTTTATCTTGAATGATTACATAAGCTGCAAAACATAAGACATTGAACCTCAATAACTAAGTGTTAAGCTTCAAATTACATTGCGCGAGAGGTGCTTGTATCAATATGTTAAAAATTCGACGATGACGTTTAGGACGCGGTAGCTCAATTGTTTAGAATAACTTGGAACGCTGTGAATGTCAATCTAAATAGATTTTTAACTTAATAAATAAATGAATTAAATACGCTAATTTAGCGAGTATACAATTTAAAAAAACACTTTAACGGTTTAAAACGCGATATATAGTTAAACTTATTTGAAAATATTTTTAACTTCGCCCACGTTTCGATGCTTTGCAGCGGCCGTGGTCCGGGGAGACGTTAAAAATCATTTTCAAATAAGTTTAACTAATATATCGCGTTTTAAACCGTTAAAGTGTTTTATTTAAAAATAAATGAATTGTTTAAAATTTTTACATGCTCTGTTTCAATCGATAAATTATGACACGAGCAAGGTACCGTAGTTTAATTGATAGAGCAACAGTATGTTGCACTATGGTCACGGGATCGATTCCCATTGTTATACACACACATATAGTATTGTACACACACACACACACACACATATAGTCATATAGTGTTATACACAACAGTCACAGAGCACAAAACCCTGTTTAACATTTTGATAATTTTGTCACTAGGGTTGTATTTGCCAGCGTGCAAACGTCAGGAGACAAAATTTACATGCGAGATATGATGACGATCAAGAAGGAATGGCTCCTGGAGATCGCGCCACATTATTATACCGAAAGCTAATAGTTTGGACTATTTTATTTAATCTAACCATACAAAAATACAGTCATACAGAAAAGTTACGTATTTAAACTGTTGTCTATAGTTTATGCGAGCAGTAAACATTTAAATTAAACACTTTTAACTGTTTAAAACGCTGAAACATATTATGTAGTTAGTTTATCGTTTCGTATCGTTTCCCTGAATTCATTAACACATATTTTGTTTTTAAACGTAACTGTTTTATGTAAACGTGTACTACTCATTAATATTAGTCATATTTCTTCTACTCAACCCCTTGTGATACTCTGGGATTTTTTATTAAAGGCATTCATTGTATTAACTTTAACGATTTTGTAATGACAAACGTAAAACAAAAGAAAAGTTATTGATTGAATTATAACCCCCTTCCCCCCCTAATCCTCTACGCTATGCTACTGATACCGTGTTTCACCTACCATCGTCCACTTTTTATTTTAGACCTATCGACTAAGCAAGATAGTAGGGGATTACATTGTAAGCAATTTACGTCACACCTCCACAGAGTATCACATGATTCGTGATTTGTGACATGATGTGTCGTGATTTTTTATCTAATTAACTGTTAACCTTAAGAATAGGATGGGCTGACACGCCCTCTTAATGTCCAATGATGCAAATATAAATTAAATCCTTATATTAATATTTAGTTTTGTAAATATATGCAACTAATGACTCGCTGGTCTAACGGCTAGTAAAAAACTGGTCGAGGCTTTCATCCCCACCGTTTCTATTCATTTTTAATTTTTCTGAATCATGTCTGGGAATCTGGATCTAAAATGGACTATATGTATGGGTAACAAACCACCGTTCACAGATGAAATGTCAGTCTATGGACTCCCGAATATACAAAGCAAAATAGGTTATAAAAAATCAAATTCTTTTCTTAACACGATTAGGGAAGCGTGATAGAATATTAAACTTTACACAGGGCAAAACTTACTTTTTTTTTAATTTCATATACATAATCGTTTATTAATGTTTTTGAACTAAAGCTGTAAGTGCTGCGGTTTTGCTAAAAGATGTAATGGGATGTCCTCACAAACGCGACGTTTTGCTCGATATCAATAAATGTGAAATGTATCTACGGAACCCTCGTTTTGTGATGCCAACTGGCACTTAGAAATCTATGCGGAATTAGTATACCTCATTCTTACCGCATGCTATTGATTCGAAGGTCAAGAAAGTTCAAGAAACAGGATATTGGGCGCTCGTTTTTTTTTCTTTTCTTTAATTAGCGGTCAATGTAATTAAACAAATTTGACCTTTTATCTTCAAGTATAAATATGAATAAACATGGTGTGATTAATTATGAATCACTTATCCCATGATGTTTTAGGCGTGTATATATTCAGATAAACTAAAATATATCTATACTAATATATAAAACTGAAGAGTTTGTTTGAACGAGCTAAGCTCAGAAAGTACGGGTTCGAATTGAAAAATTCTTCGTGTTGGTTAGAATATTCATCGAGAAAGGTTTATAAAACATCGCGCTGTGACTAAAAGAAGCAAAGATACAGCGTGAAAAGTGACCAAAGCGGGGGAAATTTTTCATATCTGTGTGTTTCAGTTGCGTACACTGCGAAAACAGTTCAAGATAACTGAAAAAATGTGAACAAAAGAATTTTTCCTCTTTCAATGACCTAAAAAAAGACCGCGACGCTATATTTTTATCTTTTAAGATTAGCTTGCAAGAACGACGGGAAGGTATGCGATCGATGTCGTGGCTCACAGCTTAAGTTTATAAAGATGACGGGGTGTGCAAAACCTAATTTAGATGCTCAAAAAAAAACGATTCTCGCGGACGAAGTCGCTGGCACAGCTAGTATTTAATAAAGGTAATTATTACTAATCTTAAATGCCATATACAGTTATCAAAGTCTAAGCCAAAATCATTTACTCATGTAAGTAGGTACACTTATGAACGTCACAAAACTAAAGAAACTCACTTTACATTTACTACCAGTCAAATCAGGGGCGTAGAACGAGCGAGAAGAACTGGCAATGAACTCGCCGTCACTCCTTCTTTCGCCAAGTTTCATTTTACATTATTTATGTACTTTAAAATACACAATTTTTTCATCTTAGAGTGGGTTCCCCCACAGCCGAAGCATCTTTATCATTTAAATATTGATTATCGTTATAATAACCCTCTCCAACTAGTTTTTGTTTTACATACGATTTAAACTTATGTGTCGTATGTTATTGTCGTATGTTTAAAAGTGTCGGTAATTTCTTATAAAGTTACTTTTGAACTACTACACTACACGCAGGACCGCATCGATGTGAGGGCAATCGAAGTGCTGCCCCAGGGCCACCACAAAAGAGGAGGCCCCAAAATAGCGACATCATATATCAATCTTTTATTTTACTCTTGTATATTTCAGAATCTATTAGGTTCGTTTACAATTCACTGAGAAACATTGTATGTTCTACTTGGAAAATATAAGGCCTCTCTCCACTCCTTTCGTTTCTTGCTTTCAGACCTTTAAAACTGGCTCTGCCTTCCCTGGAAAATCCTCTTAGCATCCACGCTACGGCGTACATCATGTTCTATTCGCAATAGATAAATTTACTCGTTAAGTGCTTAGGTGAAAATATTGCGGACTTAGATTTCCAAATAAAACCTTCGAAAGGTTTAAGTGCCTAATTGAACGATGACAATTTTTTCTTGGTTCAGCAGAAGATAACAAGATCTAGTAAGCTGTTGTATTTTTCTATAACAAGGAAAATAAACAACATACAAGTATAAAGTTTACTTGATAGAATATACCTAAGTCCCTATATCAAGATTAACTGACTCCTTTTGACATTAAGGAAATTGAAATCTATAGGCAGAAGCAGAAAGGCGAATTTACGCTACAGATATTCCTACCACTGATTTTAGAACCAAATTTGCTAAAGTCTAACACGTTTCAGAAAAACCAGTGATGACCAGATCCAGTGCGAATTGAACCTATGAACCTTTGTTTATTATACCATTAGACAATACAATATGGCGACGATAGAATTTCTGTTAGAAAACTTTTTTTTTACATGTTATTGCACATGAAGGCACTATATAATTTAAAAATTCTCTGAGCAACAGCACGGAACGCTGACGATGCCGGTTCAAGTCCTGCCCGAGACGATTTTTTTTATATATTTATTTTCGATTTTGAAATTAGATAGAATTTCTGTTTCGTCTGAACACGAGTTCATACCTGTCTAGATAATTACTTCTTAGTAAAATATTTTATTCTGAACTAAAAGCGTTTTTAGATTCGACTAGAAGTTTATCGATTATTAAAGGAATACCAGAAAAGTTCAAGTAAACAAAAATATTATTAACTATAATCACCTCAAATCAAACTTAAATGCATCGCAATAGAGATTGTTGTGGTAACTTTGAATTATCTCGTTTATTTATAACTCGGCTGTCACTAGGAAGACTTTCGGGGGTGATATCACGAGCTCAGTCGGTGAACGTTGAACTCTGGCTTTAATTGAAATATTGTTTTTGTTATTTCAACAAACATCTAAATAGCTACGGTCGTGACCGCTTGAGTTTATTTTTAAATCGGATTGACATCGAAAAAAAAACTTCATGATGATTGAGTGGGACCTTAAGTAACGAAAGTAAAGCTTAGCAGTAACCAAACCTCGGCAAGTAATGGTGGTGGTCGCACTGGGTTCTGAATTTAAGAAATATACTGTACAAGTGCATATAAAAAAAATTCGAACACCGATAGGACGTCGATTTATTCTTGTGATAGAGGACAGACGTATTTTCGCCTGGGGCTGTCAATACTAACCAGACGTTTGGGTGAACGCCGTTTGTGCGGCCAGACCAAGGGTTCCCCAGGATTGGCATCGGCCTTGGCTTGGACCACCACAATGTGGGTCTCCCACCCACAGAAGATGTTGACAGGAGCATGGGGTTGCCTTGATGGTAAATTACTGCAGCCATGTAACATGTGACGGAAATTTATTTTAAACTAAAATAGATTTTTAATTAATAACTACTGAATTAAAAAAAACTAGTTCTTATAGTTTATGTGAGCTGTGCAAATTAAGTATTTGACGATATAAAACGGGAAATATATTAGTTATTCTTTACGATCATTCTTGATTTGAATTCGGTTTTACGTTAGATGTGGCATTTAACAATATCTTTGAATAATAACAACACTATTTGGCAAACATTTACAATAACATTGATGAATCATTATTTTATCTCTTCACGTAGACACAACACTCCTTGGTCGTTCACCGTTATTCCGAGAAAAGAAATAGAAAGTTTAAAAAATAGAAGTTAATGAACTCCCTTTTAGATTCCTCTGTGATGGTGGTATATATACTAATATTATAAAGTTTTAGATTTTTTGGGTTGGTTGGTCTATTTGTCGAAGTAGGATTCTATAATTTAAATAGGAAAATTTGGAAAAAGGGGGTTATTATTCTTCTATGAGGGTTTCCATTGCGTGCACTGTGAAAACGGTTCGATTAAAAATGAATGATTTTTAAATGATCTAAAATATGTCCTCGGTAGTATGTCTTTTTTTTAAGTTCTAGCGAGAACGACGAACAAATGCAAAAGAAATATGATGCCCGAAATAACTATTCCACTCGGATGAAGCTGCCGGCACAGCTACTTTTAGATAACAGGACATATATAAATAAAAAAAAGGGATTATTCATTTACTTATGTTCTTTGAGGACAGAAGACTTCCCGATAGACCGACTAAGTGTCAAAATTTACAAGTCTCAATACGAGTCTTCGACTAGCTACGAACGAGAACGAGATGAAGATAGATTTAAATAAAACACTTTAACGATTTAAAACGCGATATATTATTAAACTTTAAAAAAATAAAAATTTTAACTTCAGCCCGACATTTCGGATGCTTTGCAGCAGCCGTGGTCACGAGGATACTATAGACCGTATTTGAGATTAAGATAGGTGTAAAATTCCATTACTTGAAAATTCGAGTCCTCAACGGTACTTCATACAATATACAGTTGAAAGGTTATCACTCACACGAGGTCTTCTTGGTTCGTGACCCAAGGAAGTGGAATTGTTGTTTCATATTACCGGAGTCACCTGCTACGTTTTAAATTAAATAAATAAAACTTTTAAAGCCTAACTAACTTAGCTATTTGTCTAAATGAAAGGGTTTTAACGGCTTAAAACGGCCCCGTGTTTCGAAACGTAGGGGCTTATAAAATGAAATTACAAAATAAGTTAACTACTATATTTCGCGTTGTAAACCCTTAATATTTCTTGTTGAATTGGTACTTCTTTTGTAAAATACAGACATGATTTGTCGTTACGTTAATTATTTTATAACATATTTGCTCGTAAAAGGGTTGTAATTTCAATATCGTAATGTATCTCATTACGTACTCTCTCTGACTAGGAGTCACCTGTCATCGCGAGTAGCATTGTGTGCCATTTAAAAACCAAAATATTGTGGAAAAAGTGCATAAAACCAGTTAAGTGATGATGTATTTTGTTGCTCGGAGGATGGTAAATGGAAAGTAATATTATCAAAGTTTTTCGTAAGCCCTATAAAACGTAATTTGTGAAAGTTTTTCTCACACTCAACGATTAAATTTATATCTACCCGCAACTTTTAACATTATTAATTTAATTGTAAATTCAAGCTGTGACATATCACAATACCATAGATCGAGTGCTATACCACAGATAATATACTCTTCGACACTGATACAGATTGTGAGTTGTCGTTAAGGCTGCGTTCAGGAATATTATCATTACCTATAGATGGCGCAGTGCCAATTGTGTGGTAAATTTTTGTCAAGCAATGACTGTGTTAAATGCGACAAATGCCCGAAAATTTTTTATAAGCAGTGCGTTGAGTCAGTTAAAGATCCTAAAAAAGGTAAACTATTGGCAGGATGCTGTAGGAAATATCTGCATACACTGAAAAATGGATCTTCTAGCCAGGATAGTGACTTGTCTCCTGCTTTTGCGAGTAGCCCAAACGAGGTTATTCCGACAGATTTCATGACCGAATTACGTGCCGTAAGAACTGAAACAAGTAACATAAGAAACACAGGAAGGGAAGAACTGAGCGCATCGATTCAAATCTATAATCGTGACATTTTAGCTCGTTTGACCTGCATTAAAAAAGGAGGAGAGAGTATGGCACCAGCATTGCCTGGATATATCTTTAAACATAGGTCACGTGACTCAAATAAAAGAGGTGGGGGGGGTAGGATTTTATATAAGAAGGAATCTAAAAGCTAAGGTACGTCTACACTCTGAGTCAGAGCTTGAGCAAATATGGATAGAAATTAGTCTGCCTGGTGGAAAAATGGCTGTCTGTTCAGCCTACCGCCCTGAGTCTGTCACTGTTTCTTAAGCTCTAAATGCCTTGTCTGTATCTTTACCCAGTTTTTCCTATTGTAAATATATATTGTCAGATTTTATAGTCCATTTTGTTAATTCTACTTGCAATTCTTTTAAAGCTTTAAGTGATTTTTTAACACAACATAGTCTAAAGCAATTAGTCACTAAGCCTACCAGAATAGCCGGAGCAAAGGAATCTACTTAAGATTTAATTATAACCAATGTGCCACGTTTGTGTGTACATGTCGATGTTATACACAATGTAGATTTAAGTGACCGTGCCTTGGTTTTTGTGGACTTTGAGATAGAGAAGCCTCGAATAGCGGATAATTATTTTTATACAAGATGTTTTCGTGATATTGATCTTGAATTGTTTAATAGAGATTTGTTTGCCTTACCCTGGGATAGAATCTACGCGGCAACCAAAAATAAAATATAACAAATAAACATTTAATTCTTTAATTTAATTAATTTTGACAGTAAATTACAACCATTTCTGACAAAAACACAAAAATGTTAATTTATTATTTTATTATCACTTCACGCTGAGCGCGCGCATCGCTTATTTGTGGACATGTAAAAATAATTCCGCGCGCTTCTTTTTTAATAAGTTAGATTTTATTAATTTCCTCGTAAATATGTTATAAAGGTCGTATCTATAATACGTGCGTTTGAAAATAACTTTTATCCCTTTAATTTGCCAGCCTTATATCAGTGCCACTCTTTAATGTCTTCCATACACCGCTACAGCAGGTGTGCTATATCAGCTGATAAGCAGTCATAGTCCACTTCCGGACTTTCGCGTGATCGCCAAGTTGCTAAGTCGCTGTAATCATGAAATTAGTCCACAGGGTCCACACCTTATCTTGAATGACAGAATATTGACTATTAGTCGATTAGGAATCTATAAAGATATAATTAAAAAGCCTATACATTGTATTAGGTATTACAAGTTTACTTGTACCGACGTTGGGGACCATGGGGGGGGACCAGCGTTGGTGACCTTAGGGGCAACATTTAAAACAGTGGCATGCGTATAACTAACATTAACTTAAATATGTTGTTTACACACACTAGCTGTGTCAGCGACTTCGTCCGTGTAGAGTAGTTTTGTCTCGAAAACATCATTTAAAGAGGCATTTACTTCCTTACATACTTCTTGGGTATCTTAAACCATTTGCGCACGCAACGAAAACGCCCTGAAAGACAAATATACTTTCTGTGGCGAAAGATTCCTCATTTCCCACTTCTATTAGTCACATGATAATATTTTAAGCCTTCCTCGATAAACGCTCTAACCAACACAAAAAGATTATTTAATTCGAATCAGTAGTTTCTAAGATTATCGCGTCCAAACAAGCAAACTCTTTAGCTTTATATATTAGTATACTATCAATATCAAATATCTGAAAGTATTTAATATCCAAAGCCAAAATAGAGCGTATTTGAACAATAGGAGCGAAAAAGCAAGGGGTAACGTATAACGTAAAAAAAAGATGAGAAGAGATGATGATGATTTACATAATTTTTAAACTATCTAAAGAAATGTCTGCGACAGTATATATCTATCTTTCAAGATTAACTCGCAAGAGCGACGGGACGCGGACGTCTTGATAACAGCTGTAACTTTTAAATCTGCAGAAGTTGATTGCAAAAATAAATATGATGTCCAAAATAATTATTCTATGCGGGCGAAGTCGCGTTAACAAATAGTAGGATTATTGACGACGTGTCGTGACATGAAAGAATTTAATTATTTTTACATGTGGCACATGATGGCATTATATAAAAATACATTGAGCGAGGCGAGCATGTATTTTTATATAATTTTATGTAATGTATTCTGAAAAAATACGACGCTGACGTGTTGGACACAGTAGATCAATTGGTAAGAGCAAATAGCACGGAACGTTGTGGATGCCGGTTCTAGGTCCGCGTGTGTTGTTGTTTTTATGTATAAATAGATTTTGAAGTATCCACCTTAAATGTTAAACTACATTTTAAAACATACAAATTTGTATTTCCTTTAGGCATGTTCATCTCAAAGTGTTGAATAATTCATGGTAGTATATAGTAAATTTGAATGAGAACAATTTGTTTTGACTATGGCGGAATTATCAGTACCACAGAGAGACCACGCTAAGTAGTTATGTTTCGGTGATAAGACGTCCACTGTTAGAGTCTTCACGTCTACTGAGTGACAGACACTCACAGAATCTTGTAGCGCGCTCAACTGTTGGGTTGTCGGGACATTTGTTTTTAATTCGAGTTCGTGTGAAGTGTACAATGAAGCTGTGTAAGCAAGTATGTATATTTGTGTTTTATGTGGGATTTAACGATGCTTTTAGAAACAATTAATGTTTTTAAATTCACGTCTTTATATTTAAGATTAGGTAGGGAATTCTTAAAAGATGTCAATTTTTACAACTGTATCAATTCGAGAAATACAAAATTGAACTAAACCTTTGAACAAAATGTAATGTTATTTAAATAACACTCTTAAACGGTTTAAAACGCTTATTAACAAGGTATATAAACTACGTCTACACTATTGTATTGTCTACGTTTCGGATGTTTAACTAGTGTAACTATTAACTAATATATTTCGCGTTTTGAACCATTAAAGTTTTAATAAATGAAACTACAGACAATATTTTATTATTTACAATTAATTTATGCTAAATTCATTATATTTTAATAAGAACAATTTTAAACACGTATATAAAAACGTATTTATTTTAGTTTAATATAGTTACTTTTTATTAATAGATTGATAAATTTGTAATATTGTTTCAAACAAAATGAATTCACTTAAACAACTTTTTTCAAATGCTTCAATTTAGATGGATTATTTTTTAAATATAACGCGACAAATATATTTAGCATTTAGCAGGCAACAGACACAAAGTCTGGCATTATCTAATAAAATGGTAAACAGCAATAAAAATTAATTAAACCGACTTCAGTGCAGCCGTGTTGCGAAAACAAAACATTAAGATAATCACATCAAGTAAACACTGTTACTAGAAGCAATAACTCCATAATGTGCTTAACTTTATTTAAAATATGTTATTTTTTATGTAAAGTATAAGTTATTAAATGTTAAACAGATCAAATCTTTAGACAAAAGATTGACAAACTTATTGTTCCAATGGTAGTAAAGTCGAATCTGAAAATATTGCTGTATGATAAATTAAATATGTTGCTTACAATTGAATTTTAGCATATATTTGGCCAGTATTGGTTTCGATAGTTACACAACTAAAATTAGTTTTTAAATAAAACACTTTAACGGTTTAAAACGCGATATATTAGTAAAACTTATTTGAAAATGCTTTTTAACTTCGGCCCGACGTTTCGGATGCTTCGCAGCAGCTGTACTACTCGCGTAAACTATAGACAGTATTTAAAATTAGTTTTAATAATCTTAAACTAAGTATAAGTACGATCACGAGTGTGTTAAACATTTAAATAAAACAATTTTAACGGTTTAAAACGCGGAACGGGCTTGTTGATGGCTTATGATCGGTATTTACAGTTAATGATCATAATCTACGAATTAATTTATGATTTGAAACCAGGGCTAGTCAGGTTAGATCATATATGTATATAATTGTTGTTCTGGGAATATAATTCTTTAATACAAAATATTTAGTGGTATTTCTGACTCGTAAGTTTATGGGGCAATGTATGGCTACTAATCAACAATCACCGGGAACAACAATAAATTTTACAAGATCTGAAATATGGACCAAGACCATGTGCAATATGGACTACGTCAACTCTAAACTTCTACAGATACTAAAGACGAAATAGCTTAACCATAAAAATATCGATCTAATTAGCTTGTGGGCATTCTGAAATCCACAGACAGAAACCGCAACGCGATTTAACTTCACGGCTTTTTCATTTATGACTTTCGATATTCCATACCCATTAAATATCTAGATTTCCACACGAAGTCCAACATGTTTCAGAAAAATTATAAATTTATAAGAGTATGATTGTATATACATTGTTGTATATGATACATTCTCTCCATTAGACCCTCAATCGACAGACGAGCATGGGGCTTACTCGATGCGTCGTGAAGTACCCCTGCCATATAACTTCGACACAAAATGTGTTATCGACCTATTTTGGCTTTGAATATTTATTTTATATCTAATATGAATCGTTGTTATATTAAGATGAAAACATACCTTTGATTGCGAATATTTCCGTCAGAGCGTTTATAAAGTTCACGTTTCCACGATAACATGGCTTTAATTGATTTATTAAGCTATAAATAGTTGTGTAAACAATAAATGTTTGTCCAGAAAAAGGACAAATAAAAATGAATAATCGTAAATGATTCTTAACGTCATCGTAAGGTTAATTTAAAATTCAAATTCAAATCATTTATTTTACACTAAAATACAATAATGTTAAAAAATAAATAAATTGGTTATAATTCCCACAAAAAAGCACCTAGATAAATACTTTGCGGTGGAAGGACATAACTCGGCGGTTACTGAAACAACAAATTTGCTGCAGCGTCCAGTTCCATTGATGCTCCATGGATGACACTTAAATTGGCAGCCAAAAATAATGAGTCTTAAGTTTATAAAGAGGATTTAAAATAAACTACTGCTTTTTTGCGCACGGTTTCTATGCCCGGCGAATCTATACGAATATATAAAGCTGAAGAGTTTGTTCGTTTGAACACGCGAATCTCGGGAAGTACTGGTTCGAATTGTAAAAAATATTTTTGAGTTGTTATCGAGCAAGGCTATAAAACATGGCGGTGCGACTTATAGGAGCGAAGAAACAGCTGGACATGTAAAAAACAACGGGGAAAATCATCCTTGTTGGTTTCCGTTGGGTACGCTGCAAGAACAGAAAACAGTTCAAGATAGCTAAAGAATATGTATCAAAGAATGATTCCTCTTTAAATTATATAAAAAAATGTACGATATTATTAAAAAAAAATTAAGTACGATGCGACCGACGTCTTGGGCAATAGTTTAAATATAGATTCAGAGGAGGTTAGCGAAAACAAAATTTGATGTCCAAAATAACTACGTGGACGATTCGCTGTCACAGCTAGTATATATATATATATCGATCGATTCTGTTTGTTTCTTTATCGAAAAATCTATAAAGAGACAAACAGAAGAACTATACATGTACATATAAAATAAAAACCCTAAAAATGTAAATTTACCCTAAACACCACTGAAAATATGAAATGGTTCATTTATATGTGTTTTATATTTTAATTAGAACAAATTTAATAAGAGAGGAGGTGGTAGGGTATTCTGCCGCTCTAACGAACACGACTCGGTGGCTTAATTAGTTAGTTAGTTAGCAGCAGCACGTATCGCTGTGGATGTCGGTTCGACACCCCCCATTGTATTTTTCTTCATTTCAAAGATTTTTAGTGTATGTTATAGTTTATTTTATTTGTAATATTATTAAACATATCATCACTCAGCGCTTACTATTCTTACTACAAGTGGCACTAAAATGTCAATATTATCTAAATTATTAGACATATCTAAATCAAAATTATGTTGCAAGCTCATTGAGGAAAACAATGATGACATCATATTTTACTATAAGGGGCTCGTTGGTCCAGTCGTAACTAGTTCATGGCATTTTTAAATAAAACACGTTCAACGGCTTGAAACGCGAAACATTTAGATATTTAAATATATCACTTTAACCGTAAGCGCAAGTTTAAAACGCGATATATTAGTTAAACTGATTTTAAAATGATTCTAACTACGGCCCAATGTTTCGGATGCTTTGCAGCAGCCGTGGTCAGAGTTGGCGAAACGGTCACCCCGGACCACGATAAATCAAATATAATATATATACATAGGTAAAAAACAACAATAAGTTTAACTAATAGGTATATATCGCGTTTTAAACAGTTGAAGTGTTTTATTTAATCGAGTGTACTTGTCCATCAAAGCGGAGAAATAACTGTTCGTCATTTATTTATTAAAATTGTTACATAACATACTTATTTATTCGGGTACAAGTTTAGTATATATTTCGTTCCGATTTTCACTTACGTCCTTGATGAGAGATAAATTAAATAAATTATGTTCACTGATTTTTATCTTATAAATTCTTCCGATGTAATTCGATTATTATGATTTATTATTTTTTTAAATAACACACTTATTGTTACTGATTATATATAATTATGCAATAGACAATATTTATTACGCCATTAAAACGCGCGGTGAAATGTGTGTAAACTAACAATTACAAAAAAAAAATTACAACACGGGCGGGGCTTGAACCGGCATCTACAGCGTTCCGTGCTGCTAACTCTAACTATTATAATTTTTCAATCTAAGTTGATTTTTAATTTAGAGCCCTCTTGTGCTAATTGCAAATAACCATGTTGAAAGTCGTGTTCAAAATTTATGAGATTACGAAAAAGTATATGTGTACACTATGTGAAAGTTGATAAACTTAAAAAAAATAGATTAAAAACACACGTCAAAGCCGTCAAGTTCACGTTTGAAGCAATAAAGGTTCGACAGCGCATCTCGTTTGGATGTTATAATATAAGGTTTAGGGTTTAAAGACACTTATTTCTAAAAAAAGATCTTGTATCTTTTTTTAGAAATAAGTGTATCACATCCTCTAGATCACTATACAAATGAACATTATTTTCATTCTACCCGCATAAAAATTAAGCCAAGCTTGTCTGTCTGTCCTTCTCTATCATAAAAAAATAACACAGACGGGAAACAAATCCTCGACAGATAAGAAATACTGTATCATAAGTAAAATCAAAGATAATAAAATCACACGTTGAAAATAGTTTGAAATTTGAAGAGATTTCAAGGAACTTCTTATATATTGCATTTTTACCTTTACCCACTTTTATCTAAAAGGCGATTGGTATTTGAAAAATAAATAACTTGAAGTGAACAAGACGTTTTGTGTAACGTACACAATTACAACAAAAAGACAATGCCAGTTACAAATTGTCACAATAATTTTTAATTATATTATATTTACTATATTTATTTTATTTTTTCTATATACCATATTTTGTCATCCTTGGCGATACGAATTTATAATTTTTGTAGTTTATTTGATTCCGCTAGGTTTCCTCATCACCGTCTAGAGTCTAAATTGTAGTACGGTATCGATAATCGGTAATCGATTACTAGCTGAGCCGGCTAACGTTGTTTTGCCATATAAATAATTTTACTAAAATGTCTATTAAAAACTAAGGGTTGATCGTAGAAGGGTGAAAATTGAGGATTGTATGTATTTTTGTATGTTGTATCATAAAATAATAGAAATTAAAAAATTTGTCCAAAAGATAAAAAATAAAAATTAAGGGTGAACCACCCTTATCACTTAGGGGGATGAAAAATAGATGTTGTCCAATTCTCAGACCTACTGAATACACATATGAAATTTGGTGAAAATCGGTCGAGCCGTTTCGTAGGAGTTCAAGTTCGAACACCGTGACACGAGAATTTTATATATTAGATATAAGTGTTATCATGTTAAAGTTAAAAAAAATAAACCACTCACAGTTGTTTTACATTTTAAGATAGTAAAAAAGTATTTGGGATTCATTTGTGACACGTTTCTACCAATAAAACATAATACATTTATTTAGATAGATATAGTCTGTAGTTTACGCGAGTACACATTTGAACCAAACAATATACGTTTAAACGGGAAATATATTAGGGAACTTATTTAATATTTTTTTAAATTATAGCCCGACGTCTCGGCTGTAGCAACTAATATATTTCGCGTTTTAAACCGTTATAATTATAACACTACACTGTTTTGTATAAATACATTTTTAAATAAGTTTAACTAATATATCGCGTTTTAAACCGTTAAAGTGTTTTATTTAAATGTGTACTACTCGCGTAAACTATAGACAGTATTTAAATACATTTCTCAAGTAAAAAACTTGTTGTGTAATTTAACGGTAATACTTTTAAATACAGTTTTATTATTATTTTATCGTTATGGAGAGAAAATTTCTATATTTTTTAAATTTATAGTCTATTTTTAATGTAAATAGTGCCATCATGTGCAGAATATTAAAGTTTTCAGATATTACAATTCGTTAAAAATCACATATAGAATTCAACATATTTTAAAGTACAGAGTTACTCCTTGTTTACGTAAGTTTGTTGTCTTGTTGTCTATTTTTTGCTGTCACGATAAAACATCTATCGATGCCCAAATGTGGAGCACGTTTGTTTTCAAGACATTGTTAAATAAAATTAGGTCGAATGTGACGCAGAATCGTTATGAAATGTTAAAACAATAGGCAGGCTTCGATAAACCTTTGACACGCCATAGTGTTTTGTTTGTCCGGAGGTACTCATGGTACTATAGTTTTATCTCTACCAAAAATAGGTTACGATTCTTGATTGCAAATCATCAATCATTGTGTGCAGTTATTGCGTTGATAATTACATTAATTGGATCAGGGCCTAATGATACTTTTAAATGTACCGCCCCGCGTTCATTTGATTTTTAGAACGATTTAAATAAAACGCTTTAAACGGTTTAGAACGCGAAATATACAAGTTAGCTATACTACTAGCGTACTCAAATAGATCTTTAGAGCGATTTGAATACTTTTATCAAATGAACGGCTTTAATGCGAATTATATAACTTAATCATGGTGTTACGGGCGCCTTCTATCGTCATTTCCTCACGGCTGCTGTTAAGCTTCCGAATATATCGTGTTTTAAACCGTTAAAGATGTGACTGAATGATGAAAGCTAAACCATAGATGAAATTTATAAAATTCAAGCCCAATTCGTAAATACTACTTACAAAAGTAGTATTAGTACATAATAGTCTCTCTGATTTTAAATCAAGTTGTATAAATTTATTAGTTGATACGGCAAATATTTGGAATAATATTATAAAACTGAAGGGCTTTATTGTTTGTTTCAACTCACAAGAACCGTTTTATGTCAATAAAATTTTGTCTTAATACTCTACATGGCGAAAGAATGTGTGCCAAATCAGCTAGTAAGGCAGAACGTTAACTAATTTTATACACAAGAGCATAATCTATACTTACCGGAGTATATAAATTTAATGTCTTAAAATGTATATTACAGTAAATTACAATGAAATTTCTATTATAATATATAAACTAGTATTAATTTTTGTTCGCAGAATGCAACTCTTATCCTCCTGCTGTTGTGTATCACAAATATTGTTCGGGAATCGAACGCAATGCCCCCGTGGCTAAAGAACAGTGGTGTATTCACTGAATCGGCAGAGTGTCATACAGATGTAAGTAAGAAGTGCCCGAAATTAGTAAATTATCTTCGTACTCAAACATTTTTTAAATATATAATCTGTGGACTACCTCACCTAATAGTTATATAATCTGTAGAAACGGTTATAACGGTTGATTGTATTTCCCAGGATGAACTCTTGGATCTTTGTCAACGATGCGCTAAGCTGACGAAGTCGCGCCAAGCTTACCCAGCTTGCTGTTCTACAGACCTTCAAGCCAGGAATTGGTGTTCAGATTACGTGTACTTCGGTAGAGGAACTTATGATTTCTACTTAATTTGATTGCATTCATTTGAATGTATTAATTTTAACATCAACGATTAAATTTGAAGTATAATATTAAATACTGTCTATAGTTTACGCGAGTTGTACGCATTTAAATAAAACACTTTGACGGTTTAAAACGCGACATATTAATTAAACTTATTTGAAAATGATTTTTAACTTCGGCCCGGCGTTTCCCCATGATCACGGCTGCTGCAAAACATCCGAAACGTCGGGCCGAAGTTGAAAGTCATTTTCAAATAAGTTTTACTAATATATCGCGTTTTAAACCGTTAAAGTGTTTTATTTAAAAGTATAATATTGTCAAAGATTCTAATGCAATAAGCACCTACGCTAGTAATTATTTTTATTTAAACTATAAGTAACAAAAAGTTGCTATATATACAATGTAAATGACGGATTTTGATATCGTTAAATTTCTATTCTCTTGCTCATATTTCAGAGTATTCCAAATTAACTTTTGACACTTGAGGCCGCTAGAGGCAGCACTAGTTTCTCCACTTTTGTCTAGAAATGTTAATTTCCAAGAGCAGAGTGAGCGAAAATTTTTAACATAATTCTCACACGAAAAATTATTTTTCGCCTAAAATGCGCCTATTTATTTTCCTTCTTTTTGGAAATCATGTATTTTGTTAGTAGGACACTCTGCATTTAGCGTCAATTATATAGTGCCTATATTATATTTCAAAATTTAAGATAAAAACACTCCAATCTGATCTTACGTTTAAGATGACTGAGTGGAAGAGTTTTGATAAACGATATTACGAATATTGTCGTGATTTCGTATTTTAAGGAGATTACGCAATTGTCCCCACGCCAAGAAAAGAGACTATCGGTTGTACTTTCGCTAAAGATCAAACAACAGATTTAAAAATCGATTTTAGGTTGAAAAAAAATATACGAGCCTGGAACTTTTGCTCTTACCAATTGAGCTACCGTGTCCTACGTCATCGTCGATTTTTTTCAACCTATTGATATATGCACCTCTCAAAGTTTCATTTATATAATGTCATCATGTGCAAAAATAACATGTTTTAAAGTTTTCAGATATATGTATTTATATCGCTAATGAAAAAGCTTCTAACTCGTTTCTCGCTGAACTTAAAGCTATGCCAGTACTCCTAGAGTTGCCCCTTTGGAAGATAAATCTCTTTGTCTTTCTTAGTTGCTTTTCGAAGATATTCTTCGCCCTCGCGCACTAGCTCGTAGCTAGAAAACCATCGGGCACTCGATTTTCGTTGCTCGTTTATATTTTTTATATTTTTATCTTCGGCAATGGAACAACTGCGTAAAACTCTAGATAATTCATGTTATTCCGTTTAGGTAATAAGTGATTAAAAGGGCTGTGATTATGTAAATAAAATTAACTAGTAAGTAATTTAATAAAGTTCCTTAAAGCTATACGTCTATGTTTCATTTGTCACATGGAAAATCCCATACCGGATTAAAATAAGGACACAAATGAAAAATCCATAAATTATTTTATTAACACTAATATTATAACAAGTATTATGTACAAAATTTCTAATTTTGTCTAATCAATTACATTATTTTCATTAAAAAGTTATCTAATTGCTATCGATCTTCATATTATTGATATTTGCACAAGAGCTCCCTCCAATTATGATAGACTATAGTTTCCGCCTTCTGTTGAAGTTGACAGCCCTGTGTTCATAAACATAATATAATCATTCGATTTGACATACGAACGACATAGTCATATAGAGAACATATTCAGGACAGAAGTTAGTCTCTTGTGCAAAATTAGTATTCATAATTACAATTCTAACCAAACCAAAAAGTATGAACGATGTTACGTTTTTTAAAAACATAATATCGACTTTACTAATTATTAGAAATGAACTATTTACATTAGTAGATAACTATTAGGTTGTTATTAGAAGTTTCACATTTCGTAATAACAGTTTCTTGATGTGGTATGCATCGCATTTTGTTAACTCGTCTTCACCTGGTAGACGACAAAAAAATTTAACTAAAGTTTAGTTACAATTAGATTCAATTTAAGTACCACACCAGGAAAACAGTTAAAACTCTTCAATAAATAATATTGTTACAGTTAAAGCAAATACAAAAATTCGTTAGCTCCTCACAGGAGAATAAATGCGGATCTCATCATAAGAATCGACAATAAAAAAACATTATTAATATAGTTTTTATTCGTTAAAGTAATTCGTTTATTAAATTGAGAAATCAATAGATTAAATGATCGCCACTATTATTAAAAATCAATAACAGCAATGTTTAACGGAAGGTTTGTAAGCAATGAAACAATTGGCAGCACAAGAAATTCAAGTATGACTTTCCTAGTCCTAAATCCATTTGATTAACATTTATAATTACAAAGAATGGCTAATATTAAACAATCCCGTTTTGGACGGAAACTGTGATCTAAAGTCCCCAAAGGTTAGGTACAGAGGCCTAAGAAGTGTTTGAAAGCTCTCCTTTCATGCACTATATTTCGAGAGGCTCCTTCATGAGATACAATTGAATACAATGAATAAACATTACTTATAAAACCAATTGTTAATTTCTCAATTGGATGCAAAAAACTGAAACCAATTTGAAACAAGTACTTGAACACGACGTGCGAACCTGAAATTAAATATTTATCTGTGATATCTAGTGATAGCTTATCTGTTGTATTCTTTCGTTTCTGATATTATATATTTAGACGATGGATGACATGGATTTTTACGAACCTTTAGTCGATAACACACTTATGCCTGCATGTTATGTAATAAACTAAAGTCCATTTTTGGTTGTTTAATTTCATTATCTATAAAGGGTTTGTTACTGAACTCATAAGTACTACAGTTGAAATTACATTACGAGCAGTGCAACAAATTTAATGAGAACGATCGGGACACGGTAGCTCAATGAATTGTGATGAGTACATGGAACTCTGTAAATATATTGAAGACATACTTTAGTTTTACACTTAGTTTTATAATTAAAAATAACAGTGCATTAAGCAAAATTATACACAATTTAATTTTCCTCGTAACAAGAATCTCGAGTGTGATTGCTAATTTTTTAACTCTAAAACTATCGATCGCATTATTCATAGTTTTATTTTACGAAAACTACGTTTATATACATCTCTACCTGTACAATAATTGTATTTTTAAAATATTTCATAGTGTTAAGTTTTTGTCTTTGGTTACAATGAGATACTGTGCTGTTCATGTTATTGTTTTACACAATTTAAAATGCACGGACAATTAAAGATACATTCTTTCCTAAAAGAGCTGGAGGTTCTGCCCTCTTGCCTTCTCCAGAGTACCCATGAAGTACGTACAAAAGACCAACCGTTGTAACAGTTTTTTAAATTAACTGCTTGCTCAAGGGTAAAAAACAAGACTTAAAAATGTGCTAGAATAAAGAAAAAGTCATGTCAAATTAATAGTCGTTTAGTAACTAACATTATAAGGGAGCGAGTACACGGTCAATGTAACGTTAGTTTTGCTGTTTGCATTACCATGTTGATTTGAGTTTGCTCGAGTGCCGATCTAGTATGTGCGCTACGAGTCACACATAACAATTTTTAAAGTATAGATAAAATGTTTTCGTCTTGAGTCATCTGGCAGAGATGACGAGACAAAAATTTCAAATATATCTCAAAAAAGTTGAAGAGTTTTTATTCTAATCTTATGGTTTATATACAAGTTTAGTACCAAATATATCTGATGAGTTAAGAATGGCGTGAAAGATTAAACTAATACCACGTTATTCATACACAGATAATCGATAAAATAGTAGATAACGATCTCTCGTCGCGCTCTTATTAGGCCAGACTAAATAATTATAATGGAATTAGTAACTGCTCAAAAGGAAAATGAGAGACATTTTAACATTTATAAATAAAATAAAATACAAGTTAATTGTGATATCAATAACATATTATATATTGACACAAGGCAATATTAAAAACATTATAATTCAACATGAACTCAACTCAAACAGAAATTTAATTGCAATAAAAAAATAATTTTAGCAAATGTTAAGGATATACGTAAATATTATGTGTGTATTTAAAATACAGCTACAACATATTTAAATTGTGCAAACATTTCCTTTAATAAAATTGATTGAAAAATTAGATTATCACGGACGGGGCATGGTAGCTCAATTAGTCAAGCGACAGCACTGACAGGACGGTCGCAGATTTTCCCGTTCGTGTCAACAATTTTACAATTTGAAAAAATGTACTGTACAACTGTATGTTAATCTGATTAACCTCGAAGTTTATCACAAACTAGCAAAAACAACAACATGGTAATGCAGGACGTTTGTTTGAGCGTCTATTGGCACCCTTAACGCAATAGTTTGGTTATTTTATAATCAAAAAAATATATTTAAATTGAATAAAAAAATGTGTCACGGTAACGGTCTTATTTTCAAATGAAAAGTTATTTTTAAAAACAATTATAATATATCGACTATTATTAAATGTATCGTTAGAAATAGATTGTAGATAAAGTGTTTTTTGTTACAACGATTAAAAAAAATATTGTCTGTAAGATACGAACACGTTGAAATAAAATACACTTAAATGTTTGAAACGCGACGAAATATTAGTTTTTTTTTAAATACGAGCCAACACAAAGGGCTACGGCATTCGAAAGATAATTCACATTAAATACAAATGCAGTTTATACATTTTGCGTTTTAAACCGTTAAAAGTCTTATTATCAATTCTTAGTTTTTACACAGGCATACGATCAGTTTTGCTAAAAAAATAAGGAAAAGTCTGAAGTTATCGTTGAGTTAGACCCGAAAATCACAACATGTCGTCGTCGGGATGGTTCTCGTCGTAGATCTCTTGCATTTTCTGTTGATTCTTAACTTTTTTCATTTGAGCGTAGATCGAAGCTGCCTTGTAGTTGATAGGGCCGTAGTCCTTCATATCTGCGTCCGCGTATATAAATTGGTCTTCTGGTCTAAATGGCTGGAATTGAAAATTATTTCATCAATCAGATATGACGCATCATTAGAAATATTATGGACAATGTACTTTAAAATAAATTGGTCTAATGTATTTATAATATTTAATTGTAAAAATAGTATTCTTGCGGTTCATTCCTACGATATTGTTTTGACAAAGGACAGACACGCATGAGATACACTTGATGGTAGGTGATATACCCCAGCCTACAGCATCTAAACAAGATGCGTCGTCGACCTATTTTAGCTATAGCAAATCTACAAACGGAGACCGAAACGCAAATAAACTTGGACGCGGACGGAATTTCTATATTCCGACCACCTTGAAAAATTAGAAATATGTTGGACATGGGGATCGAACCCACGATCCTTTATTAACCCAACATTGCTACCATTAGACCAAGGAGCCCGACAAACTAGTAGGTCCAACCGTTTGGTCAGAAGTTCGATCTCCAGTCGTGCAGTGAAAAAACACATGCAGGAACATTATCGTGGAAGAGATTTCCACCTAGATCCATCTCAAAGGCCCGTATGCCACTATTAGAGACTGATAAACTATATCTTTTTGTAAAGGAAACAAAACTCTATAAAATTAGTATTGTAATCACAGGAGCCTCGAATATTAATCACAACGATAAGATAATCTGTAAATCATTACATGTTACATTCAACTGTATTAATTGAAATATATAATTAATTAGTTATTATCGATTCAAAATTATTAATCAAGTGATAACTGATAATTACAAATCTACTAATAAATTAAAAATCTGTTCAGATTAATATCACACACAGGTGGTAACCAATTGAGCTATCGTGTGCGACACGGCAGTTCAATTAGATCCTGGTAGCAGGTTCAAATTCTGCCCGTGTCGTCAATGTTAATGCCTCCTTGTGTACCCGTGAAACTTTTTCGAATATCGTCTGTACTCTATGCTACATTTAAATAAAAAAACTTTTAACGGTATTGTGTATACACGCAAACCAATATATTAGTTAACTTATAACATCCAATAACAAGACTGTAGCTGCTCCAAAAGGTGTGTTGGAGCAGCTACAGTCAATTATTTCGCGTTTTAAGCCGTCTACTTTTTCATTAAACTTTAAATAAATAAAATAAGTAAATTGGATAATTCTAATATTGTTTGAGTAAGTCAAAATTTAATGTAGTTAAATATATTATTCAGCGTTGGGTTTTAAACGCTCAACACAGTCCGACGTTTATGATGCTTTGCAGCACCTGTGACCACGGCTGCTGCAAATGAAAAGTGTCCCTTATAACAAATCTGCTAAGCTAGCGCCATCTGTTATGATGTAGCAGGTTTGGCTGCTCGAAAGCACCAGGAACGTTAAAAAATAAGTAAACCAATATATTTTGCGTTTTAAACAGTTAAAAGTATTTTATATCACTGTGTGCTACTCGCGTAAACTTCAAACAATGCAAAACTCTGAACTAACCACTATGGCTCAATGGTTAAATATAATATGATAGCATTGCGTTAGATGTGAGATGCCTTGATGAAATATAACATATCGATCGGATTATTTGTAAATAAATTCGTCTGCCCCATGTTCCACATTGGGAAAATGGGATGCCACACAAACACAGTCAGTGTTTAGTATACGCAAGAGATTAAAAAGCACTATTACAACGTGTATGAATTTAAAATATTACCTCTTAGTAAATGTACGTGTCACTCTTAGCTAAGCGTCCCTAGAAAAGAAAAGAAAACATCACAACGCATTCCATGCCTCTTAAAAGCTTTGCTGTAACATTAGATCCAAGTAAACATGAAAGACAATCAGCCACCATTGGATTTCTATAGTTCTATAGTTCAGAAAGATTATCGTTATTTTCAATGTAATTAACTTCCTTTCAAGTTCTGTTGAAAATCATTAACTTTGCAACTAAAACAACGACGTTTTCATCAGATCATTTAAAAATAGTTCCTCTCGCTTGCGGACATTTTCTAAATAAGAGTCAGTTATTGACGATATCGAGAAAAAAAGCTCAAATCTAATAGATCTTAAGGATATTTACAATCTACTATGTATTTAAAATATTTAATGTTATACTCTGATATTCGAGGCTCTGTGATTTTTTAATGTGATTTGTTAATTTCCAAAAATACGATGTACATACTCACCTTATACATCTATCTCATTGAATTTGAGAGTAGCGTATTCACTTCTAGGCTGCGTCTTTCTTTGACTACTTCCTACATTATTCTTATAACCACTGTTAGTTTCTTTGTTAGTACTATCATTACCTATAGAGTATGTGTCATATAAATGCCTATTAGAATTGACAGTATTTTTAAATTTTAAATTATGATTACCTAGCGCTAAGTCTGCGTATACTAATTTCTTATGTTTAGGTTTCTCTTCTCTAGTATTAAGATTAGAACAGTATTGTTCTGGCTCTATGTGTCGGGATGAGTTTGATATGTAATTGCCTTTTAATAACTGTAAATATGATTTCCTTTCAGAATCATTGTATTCTGGTTCAGGATAATCAGGCTTTTCATAATTATCATACACTCCTACGCAAGATAGTTTTTCTCTGAGACTCTCAGATTTTTTTAAACGATTTAACCTCTGACTATTCTTTTCTCTTGTTCTATTTAACGTTTTGGTGTAATATTGTGGGTCTGTCGGTTGGTATATCATTGGGCCTATGGTGTTGTTATAGGATCTCTCTTGATCTACAGGGATCCGTTTATCTACTCTAATTGGTTGGAAATAACAGAAACTGTGATGCTTCTGTAAGGGTATTTGAAAATTCTTTTTATTTTTCCCTTTAGAAGTGATGTTTGGAAAGTGATTTCGTTTTTGAAGGTATTGGTGTTGTAGGATGTTAGTATTCTGAAATGAAAAATGAATATGTTAGTCACACACAATAACACATCATGATGGATGATAGTATTAAGAAAAAAGAAGCATTTAAATTACCTGCTCTACATCACTACTTATTAAGCTACTAGTTACGGAATTACTACGTTTTAAGTTTCTCTTTGGCACCGGTTTCTCAGTCAGCTTTGGTATTTGTAATGTTTTAGGCGCTATTACTTGTTTTTTTGGCAGACCAACTCGGTTGATATTTTGCTCATTTAATTGACTAACAACAGATTTGACTAAAGAGGTTGACGGTAGGATAGCCAATGTTCTCTTTGGAGTAGCCCCAACAATATTCGGTTTTGTCCCATCGATTTCAGTTTTTTCTACGTCATCAGAGCTTATATTCAGATGTATTTCCGATTTAGATGGCTGATTTTCTCCAACTACACCGTCTCTTACTTTATTTATTTGTAGAGATGACAACTTGGAAATGTTTTCCTCTGATTTAGTCGTCCTCACTGGAGCATCAATTACGTCAATTGATCTTAAAGACAATGTATTAATTAATGGCATTGATAAGTTAACATAAACGTGATCAGAGTTAACGGGTGAAGATAATGGTGTTATTTTAGTTCTGGGTGCAGGTATTGGCCTGTTTAATGAAGTAACGGATGCACTTATATCATCTCGATCTAAACTTTCTTCATATACTTGAATAGAGTCTGTTAGATTTTCGAATTTTTCCACACCACTTATATCAGACTTGAATTTCAACAAAGAGGGAAAATTCTCGTAAATATTATCCGTAGCCTTATCTTCCTCTGAGTTGCCGTTTTTGCCATTATTGTTGATTTCATTAAAATTTTCTCCATATTCTGTATTGGGATAAAATCTTTCTATGTTTCTCTTTCGAACGATTCTCATCGATTGAAATTTTGGCGGTTTAGATTTGACATTCCTCGTATTCAAAGAACTAAATTTTCTTAAATCAGGATCTATGTTTTCTTCATCAATAGTAGGGAATTGTTTAAGATAAGTATTGGGCATGGGTGGAAGGTATGGATTGAGTAATACTGTTTGTGGCAGGGGAAACATTTGTTGTATCGGTGACAAAACTGATATTCCATAAGTCGGCAGAGAATCTGGTGATGTAATTGGGTAACTAATAGCATTCTGAACGAATGGTGGACAAACGACTCTCGGCGTGAATGAGGGGTTAGTTTTCAGTTGCCGTTGTAATGATTCCACACTTGTGCCTTTCTTTTTGTTAGGATCTATCACTCTAGGCTGTATAGCTTGCACTGGCTAAACAAAGTTACATGAAAAGAAAATAATGCAAATTAATACATCAAGCAGCAACAAAAACATGCTAATTACAGTTACAGATTTACAAAATTGTAAAATACAAGCTGAATATAAAACATAAAATCATATATTATTTAAAACACATAATTAAATCTGAGCTAAAATGAAATGAAATAATCGAGATCACACTTTAATTAGGTATTACTTAGTAACATGCTGATAGACTAAAAAATCTGATGAAATATAGTTCGTAAATTCATCGTTACTAAATTACTGTTACTTTATGGAAAGTAATACATTGATGGAGAGATGCAGTTGTGAGAATACATATTATACGAAACGTACCTTATTGGGAGGTTGTTGTAGACCATGGAACGGCAGGTTCTCATAGAGACCCGGATTGTCCGCTCCAAGGTTGCCGTTTGCTGCATTATCTACGCCATTCGTAGGTGGGCCTGAAAATGAAATAATAATATTTACAATCGATGGTAACTGTAACTATATAAACAAATAAAAAATATTTATAGCATTTCCAATTCTATTACGATTTGTTATGTATCAGAAAATAATAAAGTCATCATGCACACTTACTGTCTCCGGGTTTTTTTCGTTTCCTCGTATTTTTATGCGTGTCTTTAAGCGGTTCAATTTTAGCATTTACACACATTCTCTCAGGCCTTTTGAACGACACAACTAAAACATGCCATTAATGAAATAGATGCAAAAAAAAAACAGAAGAATAAAATTGTATTATGGTTAAAGCAGTTGTTGTTATCCTAATATTTAATATAGTCAAGTTGGGTCAGTGAAAAAATGAGGAAAGCGAAATGGAAAAACTTGTGAAAAGAGCATAGGTTGATTTTTAAAGTCTGCAATATTTTAAACGTTTTACTACAGCAAACGAAAAACAGTGTTTACAAACTCATTTGTATGTAAGTATTTCGCAAGCTTAGAATTTTTTTTAAGTGTTATCCACTTCCCCCATTTGTCTATATTTCAGAAGCCTTGTAACATGCAATGCGGAAGTGTAAGTAGTTGTATTGTGTTGAAATGTCATGTTGTAATAAAACGGAAAGAAAATGAAAAACAAAAAATAGTGACATTTCATAATTTAAGTGATGGCGCAGTTGCTTTTGGAAATTTAAAGTCATTAAAACATATACCTCCTTCTGTAACAACAACATTTGGTGTTTCACTTTGGAAAAAAGATCTAATTCTTTTCGGTCCGTAGTTTTTGTTGATATTCACTAAAGATACTGCTCTTTTATTCGTTTTGTTTATTTTCTTATACTTCCCACTGTCATCGTCTGACGAATCGCTTTTCCTTCTTAGATTCTTAAAAATTCCCGATACGACGTTGTGGGGTTGCCTTCCTTTACGATTCTTCTTGGAACTATTTGTTTTACATTTATCATCCATGTTATTTTTGTTTCTTTCTAATAATCCTAAATTAGTTTCATCACTTTTATACTGCTGTACCCTTTGCAGTCTAGCTGGGTTCTTGGGACTTAATGTATGGTTTGAGTTAACGTGTACTAACACTCCAGGTTTCAAAGGCCATTTATTGGGGGATGCTAAAGTGTCTACATTATTACTATTATTATTATCTTGTGCTTCTGTGTCATCGTCATCTTCATTTTTATTAGATCGGCTTGCATTTATCGTGGCTTCTAATTGCGATAAGCTTGCTTGTAAGCTGTTCGACGATTTGTCTTGAAATTTATTCATTTCTAATTGTGAGTTTTGCGAATCAACTAATCTCGTTCTGTCAGATGTTTTTGGGCTGAACGATAGATTCAGTCGCGGCGATAAAGCGGGTAAAGCTTGCGATATTATAGACTGGGCTATTGACACTTCGTTTATACAGCTACCATCCGGACTATTCAAACAAAATATTAAACGATGTTAGATTATGAAATTATAAATATTAATCAAAATTAAATTAACCTAAGTAAACAATAATAAATATATAAAAGATTAATGTATTTAAATAATATATAGAGATGTTATGTATGTATATGACACGATACATGTTAAATAAAATTTAAAAATACATACATAGAATAAGGTGAAATATAAAATAGAAGAATGCTTTCAAAGAACCATGCAATGATAAAAACCCACTAGAATGACAAAGATCTACTAAATCTCACACAGACCCAAAACAAATTTAGCATCAAAAGAAAGCATTCTCCAGCTAAGTAGTTGTTAGTAAATATACCTGAGTTGTTAATAGTAGTCAGTCTTAGGACATCTGGTGTTAGTGCTGTTAAGAACCTAAGGAAAAATTTATGTAATTATAACGCTGGACCATTTTTCATACTCAAAACAATGTTTTTTTTTGTTTTTACAAGACTAGAGAAGGGTAATTTCTGAGTAATAAAAACTGATTCGCTGCTATAATACTGTTATATTAAATTTTGAACCTACTTCACAATAATAAAATTCGGTTTAACCGTAGTCGATCAATATTTTGTTTTAAGTGTTAATACTTCGACCATCCTTTTGGATCAGACTCTGGTCATCTTTTTTTAAATTAAGAATTCTGATTGTGTCTGTAACGGGACATAAGTATAAAACCTTAGTTGCTTCTAAAGAATACAAATAAGGTTTTATAACTGTATATATAAAAGGGGGGATAGGGGGCATGCATTCTACGATTAGTCCTTATTCTAACGGCCATTGGTCCAAACACTTAGCAAGCACGCGAAAACCCAAAAACAATAGACCTTAAAAGTTTTGTGGTATTATCAATGGCGATCTGGGTGGCATGGATAACGTATGCCAAGAGTCTGCTCGGACCAAGGGCGTTGCTGAAAAATATTTTAGAATTCTAATAGGTATATTACTTATAGGTGTTATATATACTAAATAGTTTTGGATGAATGGAAGGAATGAAAACCTATGAAAGGTCATATGTGATCTTGTCAATAGGTTGGTTGTCATTCCTTCCATTTCGCACAAAATCGGATACTTCTATATACGTTGCGGGTTAAATATTCAATACAATAAGTAATAATATAGTTTATTAAAAATAATATATATGTTCTGTGTAAATCTATCACTTACTTTTCTCGTTCTTCAAGCTCAACAGGATTATTGTCTATATTAGTGGCAATCCAAAGTTAGTAGGCATCCGGAAAACAAACAAAGAAACAAAATTAGTAACTTTAACAAAAGAAAGGTAATTACGATCACTATATTACTCAAATAAACAAATTTAAAAATATGTTATTTAGTTCGCGTTTTAAACAGTTAAAATATATTATTTTTCATATTAATATTGAAACACAGACGGATGCAAGAGCAAAACATTGACAGCCAAACAAAAGAAGATTAAGTTAACTTACACTTCGATTTAGCCCGCATTCGTCTGCAGATGCAGATAATAATGATGCAGAGGATCACGCTGATTACGAGAATTGCCAAAGCGATGCCTCCTATCAAGAACAGCTTCTGCCTGTCACGCCACCATACCTTGTTACCTATTGGACACAAATGACAATGTAGATTTGTCTTTGGATGGAGGGCGACGAACAGGCATGGGGTTCTCTTGATGGTAGATGAAATTCCTATCTATATAACATCTTTAATGATGTGCTGATTTTTAACTATTTCAACTGCAGGCAGAGGTCGTGACCCAAAAGGATTTTCGATATTCTTAACACCCTTTCAATATTCAGTACTTATAAAGAAGGGTGAGGGGTAACATAAAGCTTCAAATTGTATTCTATATACTCACTATAACTATCCAAGTTAGCTGTAATAATAAAAATAGCTGTAAACAGGTATCAAAACATACTAAAAGACCATTTTATTAATTATATATTTAGTTGGGTTCCGTATTTAAAGACTAAAAACGTAACCCTATTCTGAATGCGAAGTTAAACATTTAAGGCAAGCTTCTATACAAAAACAATGTTTTTGCTAAATAGTAACAAATAATTTAATTAAAGAAAAGTTATATAACATGAAATGTGTTTATATACACAATGTTGGTCTCTTCGATGTTTCAATCAAAAATACATTTATGAGTATTGTAAAACTACAACACGTGCGTTGTACATTAAACACTTTTAACGGTTACAACGCGAAATATATTAGTTATCTTTGAATTGGACATTAGAGACTATTAGTGTCATCGTGACCACGACAGCTACAAAGCATTAAAACTGTCGCGTCATGGTTAAAATATGTTAACCAATATATTTCGCGTTTTAAACCATTCTTAATGTTTTATAACTCCGCAACAGTTTGATTAAACACAGTATCTGACACAGTGAGCCGCAAAATGAGAGAAAGTAAGTGTCATAGAACGGAAGGTGTCAATTTTTATAGAAAATACAGATTGAGCAACAGTATTATTTAAGCACATTTTGTAACGTACCCATAACATCCCTCTCACACGGCCTGGATGTGCCAACGCTGTTGCTGGCTAGACACAAATAAGTTCTGTACACGTCGACACTGGAACTCAGTCGAAGGAAGCTCTGAACACCTTCGTCCCAGATTTTCTCGTCCGTCAGTGTGTCGTTGTCATTCTTTAGTTTCCAGGTGAAGGTGACCTAGAGGTAAATATTCTTATTTACACTAATGTTATAAAGAGCTACATTCATCCTCTGTAAAAATAATATTGCTGGGGAGCGTGAATGAAGACGTGCCGAGAAAGTAAACGCGCCACGTTTTATAGACTTGTTTTTAATATAACACATTACCTCGCTTGGATTCGCATGAGCTGTACACGCGAGGACCTGCTGACCTTCCACTTCCACCTGCTTTATGCCACATTCGGGAACAACTGAAAAGATCATAAACTCCTTCAAGTACTTTTTTTTCATCGCGGGTCTGGGACCGTTTGCTTAATCAGGTCGCCTTTACACCTAGTAGATACTTGAATTTGAGTAATAGAGTGAGTAAAAGAGTGATTATCTAGTAATATATATTATCTTGTAAAGTTTGCGATTAAGCCATTAACCATTATTTTATTTTATTATACCAAGTTACATACAATGCAATACGGATAGACGGATCTTTTCCAATTCGTGCGACATACAATATCTTAACCTTTTTAACCTGATCTCCGATTTCAAAAAGGAAAGCCCATTTATTGCAAGCTTAGCTTAATTTTGCAACCAATGCTGAAAGATTATAAGATTATAGCTTGTCCATTCCTACAACATAATTTTTTTTATACGCCACTCATTCTATACAATTTTTTCGATGATTATCACATGTTTGACGGGCCTTAGTCAGAATGGCTAATGCCACTAGGTCCTAATCTTAATAAATTTACAACTCTTCTGAAACGTGATGAACTTCGACTGAAAATGTTTATATTAAATGGGCGGTAGAAATATCGAAATTCCACCTCACGAATTACCGTCAAAATAAAAGCCGTAAAATTTGTTCGCGGTTCGATTTCAGTCTGTAGATTTCGAAAAATCTGAAGCCAAAACAAATCTCATTTAGAAGTTATATGGCTATGGTAATTCAGCTACCATCAAGTCAACTCTAGTCATATATAGTCTATCCATATCACTAATCACTAATCGAAAATTTTCGAGTCAGGCAGGACTTAAACCGGCATCGTGAGCATTCCGTGCTGTTGCTCTACCAATTGAGCTACCGGGTCCTATATTGTCGATTTTTTTTAACTTATTGATATATGCACCCCTCTCTCGTTTTTAATTTTTCTTTCTATTTTATATTTGATTATATAAAAAGTTTTCAAATATTAAATACTTACACATTACATCCATAACCACTGTAGTGTTCACTGCTCCATGTCTATTATAGGCTTCGCACACATAATTGCCAGCATCCTTCCTCGCTACGGGACCGAGGAGGAGTGTGTTAGAAGAAGAGAGAGCTAGGGAATTGTTGGTATGTTCCTTCGCTGAACTTTTATTTGGCTGCTCTCGGCGCCAAGTGTAGCTTGGCATGGGGAAACCTCTGTAAGTTAAAAATCATTTTTTGTTTGTTGGTCTAGTGGTTAACACATTAAACACCAAAATTGGTGTTTAATGTGCTAACCACTAGACCAACCATTAATTGATTTTTATGATTAGTGGTATAAGAATCATGTTCGCTTATAAATGGTAGAATTTTAAATTAATTCACTTCACCCCCCGTGAATATTTTTCGAGTTAGGTTAAAATAATTATAAAATTAAAAAAAATATATTGAATGATTCTTTTTGTTTTTATAAATTTGTTTTATAATTCCTTTTTATATTAATATCGATTAAAACGACTACAGTTCATAAAGTTCCGGGTTGCATCCTGGGTCAAGCAAAATGTTACTTGGTATTTTGCTATTTTTAAAGAAAAATCTAGTACTTGCGCAGAGTTATTATCTTTTGGAAGAACATAGGCCCTTTGCACATAAGTAAAATATAAATCATATCTATGCTAAGTGGCCCATGAATAGATTGGTACGATATTAATTAAAAATCTATTAAGATGAAAAAGAATTAGACTTCTCTAACCAATCTTGTCAAGTAGCTCACTACCGTGTTCTTACATGCACTTATTGCGCAATGTAATTTCAACCCTAAAAATATTGCAATAAGGAATGATATTCTTTTTAGAAATACAATAAGTATATATTCTTAATGTATAACATTCCTTACTTGGCAGAACAAACAACTTTAGCAGGAATTTCATTTTCAATCACCGACACGACCCTGGGAGTAACTGTTATGTTTTCTGGTTCATCTGTAAGCAGTTTGTAAAAAACATATTTTCATTAAAAACTAAAGCTTATATACTTCTGAATAAAAGAGACGCAAAGTAAGCTAATTTATTTTTTCCAAATGTCAATAGCGCATTATTTTTGAATGTTATAGTGCTGGATCAATTCTCTCTCCCCTGTTATGAAAAACAGTTTGAAAATATCGCAATACTTACATTCTACAGCGAACTTTGTGGTGCTGTTGACAGGCGGACCTGCTGCATTCCTTGACGATCGACAAGTATACCGCGCTGTGTCAGCAGAACGAGATAGAACACCTCCCGACCATGCTGACATATTCCAGTGCTGGAAGTTACATAACATTAATCATGTATAAACCGCCATTAGAACAGGACGTCAATTGACAGGTCGGTAGATACATTCATTAGTACGGTACGCGCAAGTAAGGTACGGGTCAGTCTCCCCGTGACCACGGCTGCTGCAAAGCATCCGAAACGTCGGGCCGAAGTTAAAAATCATTTTCAAATAAGTTTAACTAATATATCGCGTTTTAAACCGTTAAAGTGTTTTATTTAAAAACTCCGCTTACCAATGTAGACTCTGTCGCTTCGAAGTCATTTCTATTGACCTGCGGTTCTATTTTTCTCTCTACCACATAGTAACGGTCGGTTTTACTAGGATCGATAATTTGACCGTCCTTCAGCCACTGCACGCTGCAAAGAGGGGCGCACTCCACCGTGCAGGATAGAGATATATTCTGAAATTAAGAAGGTCATATATTAGAAAATATATCTAACGATATATATCTAACGAAGATATATCAAAAACGCGTAAACCGTGGAATTCCGAAGTCAATCTCTACATTGAAAATTGGTTGCTGGTCTTACCCTCTGTCTACCGTCTGTTCCACGAACAGATGACTGCATAAACAATATTTAGTTACGGTAGGATAAAGGTAATATATCTATCTATGAAATAGTCAAAATAAAGAAATAGACCACAATGTTGTCAAATCGTGGAGAAACTACTTGAGACTTAAATATACACCGAAGAGCGAAATGACCACGGAAATGAAGAGGCCACTTTTAACTCCTAGGCACTGTCAATGTGGAGCATAAATATGGAGCCTCACTCACCAACAACAAGAAAAACTTAATATTTGTAAACTAGCAACGGATAGGTCATGGTGGTCAAGAATAAACAGAATGAGACTCGGCGATTATTAGAGCTAGATTATTATTATTATTATTATTAAATATAATATATATTTATATATTATTATTATTGCTATATTTATCAGAAGATATTAGTTAATAAGCTCGATACGTACTTGAGATTTATATAACGCTCCACTGTAGTGGTTCATTGCGTACTTGAAACTTGGTGGCGCTGAAATAGATGAGAACACAATTAAAAAAATACGAATATTTAATGTTAAACAAGTTAAACAACATGTTGAAGCTGAAAATGCACAAAATATGCTTACCAAGCACATCAATATTAACAAAGGCCGGTTCTCCTTCACCACCTGAATTGATACCACGACAGGAGAAGTTAGTCCTGTGATCTAGAGTCACAGGATCGATGGTCCAGTTTTGAGATACGATATCGCTGACAACACGACCACCACGGTGCCATCGGAACCTATAAAAATGATATAGATGATCAGTCATGGAGGGGTTGCAAAAGGATTTGGAAGGAGGACTCTAAGGACTTTCTGAAAATCAGTTTCTGGTTAACAAAGGACTTGATATAAGCTGAGTAGATCCTATTCTACCAACGTGCCCATAACGTTATTTTATAGTGTTAAGATTAAGTCACACTGTTAAGATTAAATTATGTATTATTTTTATGTTTAGTAATAATTCTTTTATATGTTTTAGTGTGGCTTATAGTAATAGTAAATAAATGTATTTCTTTCTCTATCTCAAAAATCTCATCTCTTAGATAATTTGAGGTAAGCTTAATCAAAGTTTCTCATTTTTTTAAAACTATACACTTAACGATTTGTAATTTGAAATGTATTTAACTTATTTCTAAACAGCTATACTAAACGTTGGGTCGCATTTAAAATAGATTAAGAAAATGCCATGCCCTGAGGTATGTTTCGTGAAATCAAATATTACCTATGGGCTTCCGGTCTTCCCCTCTCCTGTATGCTGCAGCTCAGAACAAGGGATTTCCCTTTCACAACTCTCCACGGCGAGTAGGTCAACTTTGCTGGTCCAGGTGGATCTGTAATAATAGTTATAGTCATTGTATTATTTATTTATTTATTATTTATTTATACTTTACTACACAACAGACAAACAATTACCGTGAACCAAAAAATAATATCTATACCTATGGAATGTAACGGGCGGCCTCATTGCTATTAAGCGATTTCTTCGAGGCAACCCTTCTTAGGAAAATAATGTAAACAACTTAAACTAGGAATGTGCAGAAGATGCGAAACTTAAAGTTTAAATAATTTTACGTATTAATAAATTGTGAAAGGCTTTCACGGCCATCGTTCAGCATATAATTGTTTTTCGGGCTGTTCGACGTGAGCGAGAAGAGGTTCTCGACGTTTCGCCATCAGGTGCGGACGGCATCATCAGAAGATGTTAACTCTTTGATTCCTCGAAGAATTTTACGTATTACTAATAAACGTTAAGTTTGAGAGTTGTAAAGTATAAAATGTTCGTAAAGAAGGTGTTTGAAGGATGAGAGCGAGGGAGCTAAACGAATAGAAATTAGAAGCAAGATAGACATATAATTTACACCATTATGATTACTTTCTAGAAGTGTTTTGTTGTGAGATCTTAACTTACAGTTGACAATCAATTCGGTATTTTGACTCTCGTTTCCCCAGCCAGCGTAGTTTTTGCCCTTACAAGAGTAGTTTCCGTGGAAGCTCTTTGTGGTGTCTTGTAAGAGGAGCATCGAGGGGTCCACTTCATTGCACAGGTTTTCTGGAAAATATTTTTTTTCAATTACTATGTTTTTTTTTATGGTAGAGGAAGACAATCAAACATGGAGGTCACTTGATCGTACGTGAGTTACCCCAGCCTATGGCATCTAAACAGGATGTGCTGTCGAAGTATTATGTCTATGAATATTCTGAAATTCACAGACTGAAACGAAAACATGATTACTTTACGGTTTTTATCTGTGGACGGTTGTTCGTGACCCGGCGGAATTTTGACATTTCGTTCATTTAATATCCAGATGTCCAGGGACATCCAACTATATGTTAAAAAGAAAAGAACAGAAAAATTATTGCTACTGAAAACCGATTTAAACACGTATAGTGTTAAACGTGTTACTCCACAACTGCTGGCTAGATCTATTGTGAATTTTAAAATACTTATTAACCATACCCAATACCTTTTTACAAAGAATATAACATTAGATAATATCAAACAGACTTCTTACCATCCGTGCCATTGCATTCAGGTAAATGCTTTAGTACTTCTCCATCCAAGTACCAGATAACTTCATCCAAAACTGAAGGGTTGCCGGACACGACCTCACAAGTGAGTGTTACATTTTTATGATCTGTCTCTAGAATTGGACTTTCCGGACTCATTGTTAGCCGGACTTGGGGTTTGACTGAAAATATAATTAAATACTGTCTGTAGGTTACGCGAGTAGTACATATTTAAATAAAATACTTTAACGGTTTAAAACGCGATTTATATTAGTTAAACTTATATCTAAGCAACCGAAGCGCCGAATCGTAGTCAAAATAAATAAAATAAGTAAACAAATATAATTCGCGTCTTAAACCGTTTAATAACGTTTTACTTAAATGAATACTATTTGCGTAACCTTTATCAGACAAATATCGAACTCAGAACGTTTTACAAAAGACTACTTATAGGTAGATTTAGATTTTTTTTATTTTCTGATACACGACGGCCATTCTATCATAGTATATAAGATTTGAATAACTTACATAGTACATTGACACTTATAATCTCTTCTGTGGTACCATTGCCAACAATATTAGCTAGGAGGCAGGTGTAGTTTCCCATGTCGTCTCCATTTGCGTCCAGAATTATCAACGCATGCTGGTCGGTTGTGCCTCCGTTATAGTGACTCGTGTTTACATTCAATCTTTGGCCGTTGCGGTACCTGAAATGGTTTGAGACACAAAAAAAATATATATTTTACTTTATTGCACAAAGAAATAAACAAAGACGCAAGAGACTTAAATAAAAAAAAATGGGAGTGCAATGGCCGGCCTTATCGCTAACAAGCGATCTCTTCCAGGCAACCCACGATGTATGAGGAAGTTTACGGAAAAAAGAGATTTGCAAGGTAGTCGACACAAAATACACAATATTTAAAATATCGAAACCAAACTTACACAAAATTACTAAACTTATCTACGGAAACTAAACCTAAGAAAGAAAGAGAAGTGTTATTTGACATGTGTAAATGACACGAAATTTCGTATGATTTCGAAATGCTGGGGTCACAGCGGTCCGATAGAAAATAATATTATATTGTGTAAATTTATAATAGTTAATAAACATTATGTGGGTTAAGTTTTGACGTCTTTGTTGTTATTTTTTCAAATAAATTTCTTCTGTGATCATTTGCGGTTGTTAAGACATGTTTAAATACACAATGGAAAACTTCGAGAAACATCTAAAATCCTGGTCCAGTAAACTAAAGCAAGTGCTTTAGCTGTCTATGTCTAACTTTTAAACAAGCAAAATTTAACATAACAATCTTTTAAAACTACAGCCGAAAGTTCTGCAAAGTATCGTCGAGTAGACAAGAACAAAAATACAGTTCTAGAGCAAACATCGTTTCTTTGAACGCTGTTTTAATCAAAAATGTTGATGAAAGCTAAGAGCTAAGTCCTTTCATCGTTTATCTTTTACGTAAGCAGAGGTTTGAGCTATTAAATTTTGCGTAAATACTTTTTCGACGGACATATGACATTGGTAAAATCAAATCCGCCAATAAGTGGTTTTAAGATATTTACTTGATACAAGCTTTAAAAAACCCATTTTACTGGTAGTTCAAAATTTCTGGTATTCTTTTGTTTAAGCTGCATATATTTAAATGAAACATAGGAAAGCATTAAATTGTACAAATAAATAAATAAATATCATATCTTAATTTTTGTTTAGTTTTGTGATTGATGATAAGTCAAAAGTTTAATTTTTAAGTTGATACTAGTTAGAGCAACAACACGGAAAGCTGTGGAGGCGGATTGAAGTCCTGCCCGAGTCTTTTATCAATTTACGATGGATTTTTAATTTATATACAGTGCAATAACATGTGAAAAATATTAAAGGTTTCAAATTTAGAACACTTTTTATTTTATAAAACATTGGAATAAATATGGAAATATTAAAATTGATTCAAGAATACAAATATTACTATGGATATACTCCTTTTGTGTTAAATGACGTGTACATTTTAGAATTGTCGCTATAATTGCACAGTTCATAATGAAAAGAATATCTGGAAATTTCTAGCCTCAAGTAAAATACGGTGAGATTAAAAAGCCTAACACCACATGAGTGAGTACCCAAAAGTTCCACCTTTATGACCTAGGTTAATGAGGGCTTAACATGTTCTTAGTCGGGATACTTGCAGTAATGTGCTTAGTTTGAATGTGCAAAGTTTAATCTTGTATAACGAATGAAAATCTGGTAAACGGGGAAAAGTGTCTACTACATTACTAGAATACAATATCATTATTACATTACCATAATAATACTCTATTACTTCCTTTTATTGATCAGTTAGTTTGTTACCGGAATGTCTTATTATAAAAATCGAATTCAATTTGAACAAACCCTGGTGTGTTCTTTTTTTAAAATTTCTGTATGTTCAGCTAGTAAATAGTCTATCGTCTCCTATCATTAAAAAAATACAACAAGATGTGAGTCCTCAAAGCGACATCCACACTATTGTGTTGATGTAACTGATGTAAAAATATAGCTACATAGGTAAATATCAGTATAAATATGAATGTATAATATAAAGTATGTATTATTATAATTAAATTTACCATACGACGTCGCGGAGGGATGACGGATTACTTTCATATTCGCTCTTGAGTAAGATCTTGGTGCCTTCCACGACTGTTATATTAGGTGGTCCGACGTGAACGATTGGTGGGTCTGGAATTTTAATTAAAACACCATTAAAATACATATGTATTGGAAACGTAAAGATATGTATATATTTGTCTTCTTGACTTCTTTGATTTGTGCTTCTTTGATGCTAATATTTATTTATTTATAACTATGTAATCCATCTTTATGGGATAAAATATATTATTTCATCTCGATTTGATGAGTTTTAGAATATCTTAAGCAATAAATCTACAGTAGATGCATTGTACTTAGTCCTAGTACTATTGCTCTCTGACAGGACTATTATATTTAAAAAACTGGAATAACTTAAATACTGTTTATAGTTAACGTGAGTAGTACACATTTAACGATTTAAAACGCGAAATATATTAATCTTACATACACGGGTATTATCCCTGTGACCACGACTACTGAAAAGTATCCGAAACGTTAGGTCGTAGTTAAAATAGTTTTTAATCTAGATTACGTAATACATTTCGCGTTTTACACCGTTAAAATGTTTTATTTAAATAGCCTAAATAAAATACAACTACAAACATTTATCCAGGGTAAAAGTTTGTAGTATTTGATTACATTATTATGTTAGATACGTCAAAACAAATGTTACGTTATACAAATAACATTACTGAACTATTCACATCATTAAATTCAGCAATTTGTGCACTTTATTTGTCTGTAACAGTATAGAAGCCAGCGTTTATTTATTAATTGTGTAAAATTATTGAAGTCTTGTTGCTCCAACGATAGGCATATTTTGGAAAGGTCAGTCTGTGCCAACCAAGGCCAAAATAAGTATAAAGCAAAAATTAGCTATTAACGCTTGTAGAATAAAGGTTTATATCTCTTACTAAGTAATACTCTTTCAAAAAATATTTTAACGGTTTAAAATGCGATATATATTATGGAAATTATTGTAACTACGACACTTTGGATGCTTTGCTGCAGCCATGGTCACGAGGACACCGGTGTCCAAATTCGTTTAACTAATATACATCGCGTACTACTCTCGTGAACTACAGATAGTGTCTAATACTCTTCCATGACTTCACGTGTTAAACGTACCCGAACCGAGCAGTAAAGAATACTTACACCAAACCTCTAATTCCCTAGTGGCGTGTATTGGATGGTCGTTGTTGTCCCTCATGGCTTCGTTGACAGCTTTACAAATGAACTTGCGGCCGTTCTCGAAACGAGTCGCTTCAAAGGTAAGGTTGGACATGGTCGAGACAGTCGTGTCACTCTGAAATTTATTTGTGTATTATATAGAAAGTCTAGGGGGTAATTCTCGAATAAGGGACATGAATTATAAGTCCCGTATATGATTCATGTAAAACTCATGAGAAGTAACAAAATTTCACTGATTTGACGATCACTGATACATATAATATGAGGTCGCTAGAGGCAGAGTAGCCTAACTGCAATTTTATAACTTGACTTCTTTATATCTGTATAGTCTAAAATATTAATTTAACCGAAAAACCGAAAATCGTTAACAGAATTACACAACTTATTGTACAAATTCATTCGCTTAAGTTAATTGCGCATTTTTATTGAAAATCACGTTTGTTGTTATTAGGCCACTCTGCCTCTAGCAGACTCATATTAACTATTTAATATTTTAATAATTATTTTTAAATACACTTCAAGGACTTTTTATTGAGTAAACAATGTGTTGCTGCTCTTTCTAGTCTTGACAATTTTATTTATTTTATTTCTTATTTAATTTCTTTTACATTATAATTTTATTTTACAATAATATATAATATCTTTCAATGCTGTAATAAAATAGCAAACTTACCGATTCGACTTCTTTTTGCTGTTTAGAGATACATGCAACAAAAAAAATTATAGGTTAATAATATTTACTAATAAAGGCTTATCAATTAAATTAATATTTAATACAATACAATTTTATTTTGACACTAAGTACTATATAAGCTTGATATGATTATGTTACCCTTATTGTTTTATTTTAGTTACCAAAAAAATATATATGTAATGTATTATAATAACTCACTATAATCGTTTTTTATCAAATTTTGGTTGAAATACTTTATGCTATCGCACAAGAACGATTGACAAATCAGCTTGTTAGATAATATACCAGTAAAACAAATTAATTATAGTACTTTGAAACCGTTTCTACTGAAACTATGGAAATGATTTTTTCACAAAAGCATTTTTCCATTTCTTAACTTGTTTCAACTGAAGCGAAATTGCTCAAAGAGCTGAGAACAAAACGTCTTTAGTTCGCAACTTTGCGCACTGACAGCGGAAAAATGAAACATAAAAATCAAAGTTATGTTCGCAACACGCGTAAAACTTTTTACCCCGTTGAGTGATATTTTCATGAAGAATACAAATTTAGATGTATTGCGAGGTTCCGTACCCTTATTTAATTATTATTAATTATTTGTAATTTTTAAGGTGGACAGAGAAGCATGTGGTTCACTTCATGGCACATGAAATACTCCAGCTATATTCTCAACACCGTGCTTTGTCGATCTGTTTTGGCTTAGGATATACGGAAATCCACAGACTGAAACCGGAATACGATTAATCTTTCGGCTTTTTCAAATGTAGACAGTGATGACGACCACGGAATTTCCCTACCGCCCATTGAATAGCCAGATTTAGCTGAAGTCCAACATGTTTCAGAATATTTAGAAAATCCAGAAACGGAATCCGAAACTATGTATTTATGTTTCTGGTTCGAGACGAGTCTCCGAGGACAAAAACAAATTGGATTTTTTTATAATATCCAATAGAGCTAATTGGATATTATAGAAATGTGATATATTTTTTGTGTATAATACTTTTAAAAATGTTAAACTTCTCCACGGTACCCTGAAAATTAACAACTGAAATAAAAGGCCCTCGACAAATGCGTAGAACTTTCCGTCTCAGACGTTTAATAAGAAAAATCTAAAACACAGTTTACACGGCTTCTAAATAAAAGTTTGTGGGAAAAACGTTGTTAAAATATGCAGCGCAAAAAACCGGGTAGGATTAAAAGGATTTATTTGAGGGCCCCAGTGTGAAGCATTTACAGGTTCGCCTTTTGCAGCTATATTGTAAGACAAAATTAAAATTCCGTAACTCCAGCATGGGACATGAGACAAACGCAGGATTATCTCTATTTCAATTACCGGTTTTTAAAGACTAATTAGTTTTACGGGTTTCGAACTCAGGTCCTATTTATTTAACCATTAAGCTATGAAAGTAGCCACAAGACACATTTTTTGGTTATACCATTTTTTTTTATTATTTTACACTGGGTTTTAAATTAATACATTTCCATAATGGAAATGGAATGGAATGGTTTCGTTCAATTGTTCAACTTCTGTTAATGTTCCGTTGATTCAACCGTATTCTTATTTAGTTATATCGTTTTAAACTATGTACTTTATTGCCTGTTGCGAGTTGCCAGTTCTTCACGTACGTTCTACGCCCTTGATTTGAGAACTCGTAGTTAATGGAAAGCTTGATTCCTTAATTTTGTGACGTTCATAAGTTTACATAGTTACCATGAATAAATGATCTTTGACTTTTGACTTTGACTTATTAAAAACACAATTACATCAAACAGCTACGAAATTTTCGATAAAACTTGAACTTATTTAAAAATATAGCGGTTATTGTAGTGCGCAATATAAGAGACTTAAAAATTTAAAAAATATAAGTATTTCAAAAATATAATATTTAACATAAATTTTTATTCGTTTGAATTCGTCCCTGTTTAAAGAGAAAAACATTTACGACTTGAATTCAGCCTACTAGACTAATCGTATTAGCTTTAGTGACGTACATATTTATCGATAGAGATAGTATCGAATGTTATCGTTAGATTTATTTTGAAAATAGCATGTTATACTAATTAAAAAACAAAGTTCTAATTGATAAAGTAATTGTTTACGTTTTATATCGATTTATATATATCTACTGTTTTATTATACAGGGGGACAGACAAATTTTAGGTTCACATTATGGTCGGGAAAATACTCCTCCATCAATATGTGTCATATTAACAAGAATCATTTTCGACGTTGGATGTAGAAATAACCAAACTGAAAACATTTTTTGGCTATTTTGTGTTACAACATTGCATCGTAATATTATTATTTTTTATTTTAGCTTCTAACAAAATCATTGTTTCAAATTTTAAAACGTCAAAATGTTATATCTAATTTTGCACCACTCGCGCAAATGACGGATATTCTCAAATCGATTTTATTAAAACTACACATCGATGTTACGTACAACACTACACGAGCAAAGGTAACAGCAAAGGTAAAGTCAGGTAAAGTGAAATTGCATCTAATTAATACTTTTAAATGCTAAAAGGCCTCCGCAATAGGAAACATCGTGTAACTTCGAACATTTCATTGTTAATCTATACTAATATAAAGCTGAAGAGTTCTTTTTGTATGTTTGAGAGCGCTAATCTCAGGGACTACGGATCCGAATTGAAAAATTGTTTTGGTTAGAGCATTTATCGAGGAAGGCTATAGGATATAAAACATCGCCCTGTGACCGCTACAAGGGAAGATTTAGCGGGAATTTATGCCATGCCCAAAAAACCTATATGACGCGGACAAAGCCGCGGGCACAGTTTATGCTAGTAATTTAGGTGATAATTCATTTGGATCGGAATATACGTGTAAGTGTAAGGTAAAACATTTCACTGTATAAAACACTAATTTCGCTTAAGAACTTGATACAAAATACTATTATAAAATTATTGTTTCTCTTTGTGTGGTCAGCTTTGAACTGAAATATTGTAAAAGCGTTTCGCTCTATGAAAACAATTTGAAAGCCGTTTCACGTTTAATTCTTTTTATTGCTCCATTTTCTTTCGCGATGAGCATTCATTCTTAATCTCTGTAATTTTCCTTTAAGATAATTTAGCTTTTATTCATTTTAACATCTATCGTATTATTAAGTTATTCAATGAATTTTATTATCAAAATAATTGAAGGACGATCTGACAAAAGGATATTGTTCGTAAATAAAAGCTAAGCTTAATTAAAAAAGTTGTTTTCGTCTTAGATTTTTTATTATCTTGATAAAATTTAACGTGTTAAATATGGTCGGTTATTTATGAATTTTATTATAATTTAATAACTTCATTGTTAGTTTTGTGGTTCACACGATTAAATATATATTTTAATTAGACCCAGTAGTTCCAGAGATTATCGCAAACAAACAAACACACTCTTCAGCTTTGTAATATTAGTAATTTTTTAATAATCTTAACAAAATTCCGTAACATTATGTATATCTTTTAAGATAACTTAAAAGAACCGTTTTTATGGAAAACAAATTTCATCGATATAATTCATATAGCAAAAGAATGTTTATCAGGTCAGCTGTTTAATTATATGTGGGAGAATTTTAATTTTAGTACTATGTGACTTGCCGCCATACTGAAGTTAGGCATAGTGTACCTGTATGTTACGGTCAACTGTCGAAATTAACAAACTGTCCGAGTCAAGTCACTGTGATCTGTAAGTCAGTAGTACGACTATAAAGATTGATGCTCGTGAACTCTCGAAGGCAATTACGTGGACACGTCGCCTGCGCCGGGTGTGCGCACTGATAATATGCCAGAGCACAATGGCGACCACGAGGCAGCGAATTCTTTTATAATTTCCGACATATTTATGCCATTTAATTATATAAATACATACATACATATAGGACATAACTCAGATTAATGATAACAAAAATCGTTATCATTATTTGCAATGATAACAAATATGCAATGTTTTCGTATGCAATTAACAATCATTTTGTAACTTTTAATTATTTTCAATGATTTTTTTTAATCTTGTTAACGCGTAGGTTGTTAACGATATAACGAGGCTTTCGGCCCGCTCGCGAATTTTCATCGCTTTCATTAATTGAAATGATAATGATCGACTAATTTCTTAAAATTAAATTCGTAATAAAATTAATGGAATGTATACCATTTTTTGTGTGGCTAAGACTAGCATGGGGGTCAGTTCATGGTAGGTGAAACCCTATATGGCCATATAATATCTACATATACTAGATCAGATATGCTGTCGTCTTATATTGGCTTTGATATTCCAGGAAAAGCATTGTTATAAACAAAACCAAACCGAAATCTATACCAATATATAAAACTGAATAGCTTGTTTGTTTGAACGCGTTAATCTCAGGAACTAGTTAGAATTGAATTTTTTTTTTTGTTTTGGTTAGAGCTGAGGAAAGACTGACTAATAGAATAAAACGGGGAAATTAAATACCGTCTATAGTTTACGCAAGTAGTACACATTTAAACGTAAAATAAAAATAATTTTCAAACCAATTCGACTAAAGTATATCGCGTTTTAAACCCTTTAAGTGTTTTTTTTTTAAACGGGGAAAATTATTCATCTTTATGGGCTTCCGTTGCGTTCACTACGAAGACGGTTAAAGATACCCAAATAATATGTACGAAAGAATGATTCTCTTTATATGACTAAAATGTCCACGACGCTATATATCTATCTTTTACGATTAACTTGCAAGAACGAAGGGACGCGGCCGACATCGTGGGCAATAGCTTAAATCGATAAAGATGAAAAAGAGGTTATTTTAAAGATCGAAAATAAATTGAAAAAAATTTCGACTCGGGCAGGACTTGAACCGGCATCGTCAGCTTTCCGTGCTGTTGCTCTACCAATTGAGCTACCGAGTCCTACACCTCATCGTCGAATTTTTTCAACTTATTGATACATGCATCAAATTTTCACGAATATTAGTAACGTTTCTGTTTTGCAGTGATAAATGTTTACAAGCGCCACTAGG